GAAAAGGAAAGAAAAAAAAAAGAAAAAAGAAATGTAAAAATCAGGGCCAGCACCGTGCTGCAGTAGGCTAACCCTCCACCTGCAGTGCCAGCATACATTTGGGCACTGGTTCTAGTCCCAGCTGCTCCTCTTCTAATCCAGCTCTCTGCTATGACCTGGGAAGGCAGTGGAAGATGACCCAACTGCTTGGGCTCCTTTACCTGTATGGGAGACTTGGAAGAAGCTCCTGGCTCTTGGTTTCACATCAGCCCAGCTCCAGCCATTGTAGCCATTTAGGGAGTGAACCAGTGGATTGAAGATCTGTCTCTCCCTCTCTCTGACTATAACTCTGATTCTCAAATGAACAAAGAAAATCTTCAAAAAATGCAAAAATCAACAGCAAATTAAACCCAATGTAAGTACATGAAAGGAAATAAGACTAGAAAGAAATCAATGAAACAGAAACAAATCAGAGAAAAATTAGTGAAACCAAAAGCTTGTTTATTAAGATTACTAAAATTGGTAAACTGTCAGACTGATTTTTTTTTTATTTGACAGTGAGAGAGAGAGAGAGAGAGAGAGAGACAGAAAGGTCTTCCTTCCATTGGTTCACCCCCTAAATGGCTGCTTCGGCCAGAGCCAGGTGCTTCCTCCTGGTCTCCCATGCGGGTGCAGGGCCCAAGCACTTGGGTCATCCTCCACAGCCCTTCTGGGCCACAGCAGAGAGCTGGACTGGAAGAGGAGCAACCGGGACTCGAACCCGGTGCCGCAGGTGGAGGATTAACCAAGTGAGCAATAGCGCTGGCCCCAGACTGATTTTTAAAAAACTAGACAAATTACTAATATCAGGAGTGAAAGTTTAGATCCTAAAAGATATTAAAATAAGGGATATTATGAACTGTTTATGCCAAGAAAATTCACTAATTGGATGAAATGGACATTTTTTTAAAAGATTCAAATTGCCAAAGCTCATACATAAACTTGAATAGCCCTGTACCTAATAAATCCAATTTTTAGTTAAAAACCTTCCAGTAAAGAAAATTTTTAGCCCAAATGGCTTTCATGGTGAATTCTACCAATCACTTATGAAATGCTTAATGCAAATCCAGGCCGGTACTGTGGCTCAGCAGGTTAAGCTTCAGCTTTTGATGCCCACATCCCACATCTGAGTGCCAGCTTGAATCCCATCTACCTGCGTAGGCAGCAGCAGACTGCCCAACTAGTTGGACCCCTGCCACCCATGTGGGAGACCAGGAGGGAGTTTCTGAATCCTAGCATTAGCCTGGTGCAGACCTGGCTGTTGCAGCATTTGGAGTGCAAACCAGCAGAAGGAAGATATCGCTGTCTCTTCATCACTCTGCCTTTAAAATAAATAATTTTTAAAAAAATATGTAAATTCTTGAAGAACTTTTCAAGAGAATATATGGTAAAGGAATACTTCACAATAATAAAGCCTGCAGTACCCTGATATTAAAAGCACATAAAAATATTAGATCACACATATTTACCACAACTGCAGACCAATATCTCTTCTGAAGCTAGATGAACAAATAGTCATACAATTTTAGAAAATCATGTCCAGGGGCCGGCGCCATGGCTCACTTGGTTAATCCTCTCTACCTGCCACGCCAGCATCCCATATGGGCGCCGGGTTCTAGTCCCGGTTGGGGAGCCAGATTCTGTCCCAGTTGCTCCTTTTCCAGCCCAGCTCTCTGCTGTGGCCTGGGAGTGCAGTGGAGGAGGCCCAAGTGCTTGGGCCCTGCACCCGCATGGGAGACCAGGAGGAAGCACCTGGCTCCTGGCTTCGGATCGGCGTAGTGCTGGCCGTAGCTACCATCTGGGGAGTGAGCCAACGGAAGGAAGACCTTTCTCTCTGTCTCTCTCTCACTGTCTATAACTCTACCTGTCAAAAAAAAAAAAAAAATCAATTGTATTCCTATAAAGTAAATCAGGAATTTAAACTTAAAAAAAAAAAACCACACATATAATAGTATCTAAAATATTGAAATATTTATGGATCTAACAGAAGATGTGCAAGACCTCTACGCTCAAAAGAAAGTATAAAACACTGCTGAGAGAAACTGAAGATGAATTATATAAATTGAGAAATATACTATGTTCATATATCTCAAAATTCAATATTGTCAGTTCCTCCCAAAATGATCAGCAGACTTAGTAAATCTCCTTTATTAAAGTCCTAGGAAAGGACATTTTTGTACAAATTGACAAGATGCTTCTAAAATGCATACAGATATGCAAAAGTCCTCGGACAACTGAAACAACTTTGCTAAAAAACAAAGTTGTGGGGCTGGTGCCGTGGTTCACTTGGTTAATCCTCCACCTGCAGCGTCAGCATCCCATATGGGTGCTGGGTTCTAGTCAAAGTTGCTCCTCTTCCAGTCCGGCTTTCTGTTGTGGCCCAGGAGGGCAGTGGAGGATGGCCCAAGTGCTTGGGCCCTGCACCCCATGGGAGACCAGGAGGAAGCACCTGGCTCCCGGCTTCAGATCAGCACAGCACCAGCTGTGGCGGCCATTTGGGGAGTGAACCAACAGAAGGAAGACCTTTCTCTGTCCTCTCTGTCTCTGTCTATAACTCTACCTGTCAAATTAAAAAAAAAAAAAAAGTTGCAGAACTTACATCACCTGACTTCAGGACTTACAAAACTACTATCAAGACAACTGGTACTGATGTCAAGATGAACAAGATTATGGAACATAATAAAATCCAGAATCAGACTCCTACATATATGGTCAGTTCATTTTCAACAAAAATATAAAAACAATTTGTAGAGAAAATGGGACATAACAAAATCCAGAATCAGACTCCTTGTATATGGTCTGCTCATTTTCAACAAAATCATAAAGACAATTCATGGAGAAAAGAGTCTTTTCAACAAATGATTCAAGAATGTTTGAATATCCAGAAAAGAATTACCTTAGATCTGCACTTGTACCAAATACAAATAAATAAATAAATAAAAGTTCTAAATGTAAAACTGAAACAAATTCTGGAAGAGCATATAAAAGAAAGTATTGGCGACACTGTCTGGCAAAGATTTCTTGTCTATGATACAAAAAAGTAAAATTTGATAAATTGATTTGATCAACATTTTAACTTTCTGTTCATCAAAAGACTATTTTAAATGACTGAGAAGATGTGCCATAAACTAGGAGAAATCTGCAAAGCATGTAACTGATTAAAGAAAAAAAAAAAAATTTGTATACAGAAACTCAGACAACTCAATAATAATGTGATTAAACAATTTAAAAATGAGTGAATACGTGAATAGGCACTTCAAATGAAGATAGAGCTGCACATTAACAGACACCTAAACCCTGCCAGTCATTAGAGAAGTGCAAGTTAGGTATCACTACACACCTGTTAGGATACCCAAAACTCCAAACTTTAACCACACTAAGTATTGGCAACAGTGTAGAACAACGGGGAACTCTTGTACATTTCTGGCAGAAATGCAAAATGGTCCAATTACTTTGAAAGCCAATTTGGTAAGTAGCTTTAAGTAAGTAAGTAGCTTTAAGATACAGCTTCTTGATGACCCACTGCTAGGTATGAAAGCCTATGATGAGACAAAAGTTTGTACATAAATGTTCATAGTAGCTTTCTTTGTATAACCAAATATGAGAAACAATCCGAATGTACAACAGGCAAATGGGTCAGCAAATTGCAGTGTATTCATGTGGTGGACTATTACTCATCAATAAAAAAAAAAATACTGAATTATTGCGCATTCAGCATAAAAGAATCTCAGAATAAATATGCTGGGTGAAATAAGCCAGACACACTATATATTCCACTTACTTAAAATTGTAGAAAATGAGCAATTGTATGATGACAGGAAAGCAAATCATTGGTTGCCTTGGGATGAGAGGGCAGGGAAAGAATTACAGAGTCTCATAAGGATCAACAGATATCTTTAGTACCTTAATTACAGTCATGGTTTCTCAAGTACATGACTATATAAAAATTTATGAAATTGTACCCCTTAAATGTGCAATTTATAGCACATCAATTATACTTCAGAAAAGTTGGTTTTTAAAAAAGCATAAAACTAAGTTTGCATATAACAAGGAATAAAGATGTATTAGATGTAATATTTGAAATTCATGCAACTGTATTCTAGGATGTTTTAATTATTTCTTTTAAATGTGCTTTTTTTTTTCAGATACTAGTAGTTCAGTACTGGTACTGGTCCTGGAACTGACATCTAGATGTTTTAAAATTAGTTTCTTTACATGAGTGGAAATGCAAAAGTCGATGTGAGACATACCTGGATTAGAATCCCAGCCCCATCACTTGCTTCCTCTAGACAAATGGGGGTATTTACTTAACTCTTTAACCTTCAGATTCCTCATTGATAAAAGTGGAATGATAGCCCTTATAAGTCTATTTAGAGGTTTGGTCAAAATATATGTAAGGACCTGCAGTTGTTTAATGGGTCATGCATTCACCATATGGGACTGTAACTGGCCCTCAACCAAAGACATGAAAATCCAGAAATATAACCACTAAATCTCACTGCTGTGAAGCTACAGTTTTGCCCAGTTCTGATTTCTACTTTGGAACCCACTCCATCCTTTACTGAAAAATGAAAGCAGGTAGGAAAATACAGAGAAAAATGCATATGAATACGATAAAAAAATGATGTGGAAAGTCTCCTCATCAGCACTTAGTATCTTGCCGGAGTGTTGAAGGTTAACAACACAGCCTCTCCCTAATGGTCTATACTAGTCATAATGCCTGCTTCCAGCAGGCTGTGAACACCACCACATAATAAGGCACAGTTTCCCCCAACTTGTTTTAACCTATGAAGGAATCAGACCTCTTGAGTTTACAGACTGAAGACCAGAAGGCAAAACTTTTCCTGAGACAGGTGATGACCGGAGCTACAGTGAGTCCCAGGTCTGCTCTGCCCCAAGTCACTTTCTCCAGACCTAGGCACTTTGAAAAAACAGTCTTTGCAGGAAGCCCAAACCTCTGAATCCAGAACCACCCTTCTTACCTGAGTCATAGTGGATTGTTCTAGTTCTCTTCAGTTTTCCAAGTGGTTTATACTCTGGCTCAAGACTTTGGAAAGATCGGCATAAAGGTTTTAAGCTGAAATGAATCAGAGTATATGATTTTTTTCTATCGAGAAATGTTGCTGGAAGGCAAGCATCTTTTAAAGAGGTTGCAAAACTATACCACAGGGGAAATCATGCTACTTTTAAAGAACTAAAAAGCAGTGTTTAATAATTAAAAGTCACTTTGATACAGTAAGGTAGTAAATGTGAGCACTTAAGTACAACCTGGTGGATATCTAATTATTAGGACTGAGAACAAAATCTTCAGAAAAACTAAAGCAAAATTAGATCTTTGCACTTGCAATGCAGAAAAGTAGGTTTCTATCCTTAACAATTAAGTAATACAGTGGCACCTTCTAGCATTCAGGTAATACTTCAGGTGGCTTCCCCTTCTTCATTTAATGGGGTTTACTTTAATCTTGCAAGAATCTCAGAAATTTTATCTTTTTGCACTTGATCCGTGAGCTGGAAGCTGAGGCAGAATGGAAATAAAACTCAAAGGGCACAGAAGATTTGAAGGTGCCCTACCCTTTCTCAAGGCCTCACTGCCAAATGCTTCTTTCGGCCAGTTTCCCAGAAGATGCTAGGGTTGTATGTAACATACCACTTGAAGAAAGCCATAAGCTTTCAACCTGAAATTTATTTATAGCCACACCCACTTGACCTCACCCTGTATCCAAGCAGACCTTTCCCAAACCTCTATTCTATTACCACTCTTTTCTGCAGTCATTTCTACTGTTCTCTTTGGCTAATCTTTTCAAAGTGAGGTCAGCCTCCACCTACGTACTAAAGGAGAGCTGCTTGACAGAGATGCATGCTGGGGGAATATACATTTTAACATGCAACCCAAGTGATTCTTATGCATTCAAGTTTAACTCCATAGGCATATTGAAGTCTCAGCTGTTTTAACATGAAGTCTCTAGACTCTGTTGCCTTCAGTTACCATCAAGTCTGCAACTTTCCCTTCACTGTCAAATATTTTAAAGAACAGTCTTCTCTCAATATTCTGTATTTCCTCAACTTTTTACTCAGTCTCAAACAACTGAAATCTGGCTTCTGACCCACAGGTTTACTGAAATTGCTCTGAGTAGACACGACTAATTGCCAGGGAAACAGGACACTTCCTAGCCCTTACATTATTTGACTTCTCAAGCATGTGACACTGATACCTTTTGCTTTTCCTTTCCTTTGCTTCTCTCATGCAATTATCCTCAACTGCCTCTCCCTCTGCTCTCCATCTCTCTAAGAAAACATTTATTTAATAAATATAAAATTTGAGAGCACAACTTTTGGATTATAGTGGCTTTTTCCCCCCATAACCACCCTGCCACCCACAAACTATTCCATCTCCTACTCCCTCTCCCATCCCATTCTTAAGATTCATTTTTAATTATGTTTATATACAGAAAATCAACTCTACACTAAGTAAAGATTTCAACAGTTTGTACCCACACAGACACACAAAGTATAAAGTACTGTTTGAAGACTAGTTTTACTGTTAATTCTTATAGTACAGCACATTAAGGACAGAGGTCCTACATGGGGAGAAAGTACACAGTGACTCCTGTTGTTGATCAACTGAGGCTCTTGTCATGAGCTGCCAAGGCTACGGAAGTCTCTTGAGTTCACAAACTCCACCCTTATTTAGACAAGGCCATAATCAAAGTGGAAGTTCTCTCTTCCCTTCAGAGAAAGGTACCTCCTTCTTTGATGGGCCTTTCTTTGCACTGGGATCACACTCAGAGATCTTTCATTTAGGTCGTTTTTTGCCACAGTGTTTTGGCTTTCCATGCCTGAGAAATTCTCATGGGCTTTTTAGCCAGATCTGAATGCCTTAAGGGCTGATTCTGAGGCCAGAGTGCTGTTTAGAGCATTTGCCATTCTATGAGTCTGTTGTGCATCCCACTTCCCACATTGGGATCATTCTCTCCTTTTTAATTCTATCAATTATTATTAGCAGACACTGGTCTTATTTATGTGATCCTTTTGACACTTAATCCTATCTTTATGTTCAATTATGAACTTAAAATTGATCACTTTAACTAGTAAGGTGTCATTGGTACCTGCCAACTTAATGGGATTTGGAGTCCCATAGCACGTTTCTAGCTTTACCCTTAGGGGTAAGTCCAAGTGAGCATGTGCTGAAGTCTATGTCTCCTCCCTCTCTTATTTTTAACAGGGATCAATTTTCCATTGGATTTAAACTCCTAAGAATAATTGTGTGTTAATTAAAGAGTTCAACCAATGGTATTAAGTAGAAAAAGAAAATACTAAAAAGAATAAAATAAAATAAAGTTGTTCCTTGACAGTCAGGACAAGGGCTGACCAAGTCATTGTTTCTCATAGTGTCAGTTTCACTTCTACAGGTTTCCTTTAAGGTGCTCAGTTAGTTGTCACAGATCAGGGAGAACATATGATATGTGTCCCTTTTGGACTGGTTTATTTCACTCAGCATGTTTTCCAGATTCCTCCATTTTGTTGCAAATGACCGGATTGCTTTTTTTTTTTTTGCATTCTCTCCTAGCCTGTAGGGTTTCTGATGAGAAGTCTGCTGTGAGTCTAATTGGAGATCCTCTGAAAGTAATGTGGCATTTCTCTCTTGCACGTTTTAGAATCTTTTCTTTATGTTTCACTTGTGAGTTTGATTACAATGTGTTGTGGTGAGGATCTTTTCTGGTCATGTCTATTGGAAGTTCTATGTGCTTCCTGTACTTGGACATCTCTTTCTTTCTCCAAACCTGAGAAGTTTCTGCTAGTATCTCACTAAAAAGGCCTTCTAATCCTTTCTCTCTCTCCATGCCTTCAGGAACTCCTAGAACCCAAATATTGGTTTTTTTATAGTATCCTGTAGATTCCCAACAATATTTTTTAGATTTCTAATTTCCTCTTCTTGTCTTTGGTTTGACTATATACGTTCCTGTGCTCTGTCTTCTAAGTCCAATATTCTCTCTTCTGCCTCACTGATTCTGTTTTTAAGGCTCTCCACTGCATTTTTGATTTGTTCTATTGAATTCTCATTTCATTTTGATTCCTCTTTAAGATTTCATTTTCATGAGAGAGATTTTCTTTCATGTCCTGCATGGATTTCAGTAGTTCATGTGTTTGCTTTTCATTACTTCTAAATAATCTTATCATCAATTTTTTGAGTTCCATTTCTTGCATTTCTTCTATCTCATCGTCTTCATAACCTTGTATTGAAGTGTCATGTTCTTTTGGGAGCGTCATGTTGTCTTCCTTATTCTTGTTTCTTAGAATGTTGAGTTTGTTGTTTGGCATTTGTGGAGATACTTGTTGGTTTTCTTTTTTTTTTTTTTTTCCACTGTGGTGGCTTTTATCATTGTACTATGACTCTCATAGATACCTTTGACTACTTGGCAGTGTGCTAGATGCTTTCCATATATTATCTCTGAATCATGTAGAAACCCAGTACTTTAGCATGAATACTCCTTTTTTCTTGATTCAAAATAACCAGCTGAGAGAGGTGATCTGACCAATAACACATTACTAGTAAATGGTGGAACTAGGATTTAGCCCAAGATAAACTGACAATACCATCTGTACATTCTGACACACTGTAAACTAATGGAATCACTGAAAAAAGAAGAAATGAACAGAAGTTCAAAAATGTCACAACACAGAGTTAGATTTTAAAATATTCAGACAAAGCTATTCCTTGTTTCTTATCTGAAAGCCAGTGCTGTGGTTTGAATATGATTTGGCCCCAAATTCATGCAGGACTTTAAACCTCAAAGTCATAAGTTAATGCTACTAAGAGTATGGAAACGTACCCCAGTTATGCTGTTTAGATGTGGCACCTAATGAGAAGTCCTAGGAACACAGGATGTGTGCCCATTCTCAAAAGAGGGTTGTTATAAGATCCTGAGTTTGAGCCTAGCCTCTCTCTGCTTCCCAACTTGCCATGTGATCCTTTCTTCACTCACAATTCACTACTGCCATCCACCACCCTCATCAGAGGTCAAACCAATGGGCTCGCCTGTTTTTGGACTTGAACCTCCAAAATTGTGAGCTAATATTTTTATAAAGTCAGATGCTTCAGGTTCTACACTGAGGTAATGAAAAGCTGACTAATAAAGCCACTGAGGTAGCAATGCAAGTCCCACAAGGAGTTAACTACTCACATTTCTATAACTTTATCCATTGTTGTGCCTAGTGGAATAACATTTGGATACGCATTCACAGGACAAATGTAGGTCAAGAAATCTTTAATCTAGAAGAAGAAAAACAAATGGGGTCAATGATCTGTAAAATGAAAATTAGAGGGTTAGAGGAAATAAAGGGAGGTTAAGGGAAAGAGAAGCAGAAATGTCTTATTGCCCTGGTTCTCAATACTGACTGCATGTGAGGAGATCTCTTAGTCAAAAGAAATACCCAGTGACTGGGGAAAGTGTTTATTTGAGTGGTTAAGATGCCTCAGTTGGCCGGCGCCGCGGCTCACTAGGCTAATCCTCGACCTAGCGGCGCCGGCACACCGGGTTCTAGTCCCGGTCGGGGCGCCGGATTCTGTCCCAGTTGCCCCTCTTCCAGGCCAGCTCTCTGCTGTGGCCAGGGAGTGCAGTGGAGGATGGCCCAAGTCCTTGGGCCCTGCACCCCATGGGAGACCAGGATAGGTACCTGGCTCCTGCCTTCGGATCAGCGCGGTGCACTGGCCACAGCGCGCTGGCCACGGCGGCCATTGGAGGGTGAACCAACGGCAAAGGAAAACCTTTCTCTCTGTCTTTCTCTCACTGTCCACTCTGCCTGTCAAAAAAAAAAAAAAAAAAAAAAAAAAAAAAAAAAAAGGTGCCTGAGTCCCACACCAGCGTATGTAGGTTTGATTCCCAGCTCTGATGCTCTCAATTTCAACTTCTTGCCAATGCAGACCCAGGAGGCAGCAGGTAATGGCTCAAGTAATTAGATTCCCATCACTCATACGGGAGACAAAATTACATTCCCACTCCTGGCTCAGCCCTGGCCATTGTGGGCATCTGGGGAGTAAACCAGTAGACTGGCACACTCTCTTTGACTTGCACTCTCTACTTCTCAAATAAATTTATTTTTAAAAACATACCAATCCCAGACCTCACTCCCAAAGATCTTTTTAACACTGAGTTATAGTTGGTCTTGAGAATCACTACACTTCAATGTTCCCCTGGTGATTGGGTTCTATATTAACAGCTGATAATCACTGACTAATGGTATTCAAAGACCTGTATGTTTTAATATCACATTAGTTTCTTTGTCCAAGAAGGTCAGTCACCCATATTTAACAAATTCTCTTTCAAGTGAGTTAGAATTTAGCTGAGTAATAACTATAATACAAGGAGTCTTCAAAAAGTTCATGGGGGCCGGCACCACGGCTCACTAGGCTAATCCTCCGCCTAGCAGCGCTGGGTTCTAGTCCCGGTCAGGGCGCCAGATTCTGTCCCGGTTGCCCCTCTTCCAGTCCAGCTCTCTGCTGTGGCCTGGGAGTGCAGTGGAGGATGGCCCAGGTCCTTGGGCCCTGCACCCACATGGGAGACCAGGAGAAGCGCCTGGCTCCTGGCTTCGGATCAGCGTGATGTGCCAGCCGCGGCAGCCATTGGAGGGTGAACCAACGGCAAAGGAAGACCTTTCTCTCTGTCTCTCTCTCTCTCACTGTCCACTCTGCCTGTCAAAAAAAATAAATAAAATAAAAAACCAAAAAGTTCATGGGAAAATGTGTATTATGGAAAAACTATACATGGATTTCAAATTTTTTCCACTAAAATAAACATTTTATTTTTCCATAGGTTTTTTTGTAGCACCTTTTATATGCACAAGAAAACTGTTCTAGAATTGCATTTCTGTCCTACACATAATCAGTTGCACACCAAGAGAATTGCATATTCAAGGTTACTTGATTTGCTCTAATGATTTGTTCTTGTTGAGTAAAATACTGTGAGCTGGTTACAGTCCTAGAGGAGGATCCCAAACATTCCTTAGCTGTAAAAGCTTGCGCAGTGCACTGTGGCCAGCAGATATTTCCTGGCAACTGCACCAGGCACACTTCTCTTGCTTCACAGGAAGGACCCCAACCCTTCCCATGACCCTGTGGTATCTGACAATTGAAAGCTGAGGTGTACCTAAAAGCCAGTGAAACACAGGCTTAAGTAGAATAAAAGAGCACACAGCATGAAACAGAGAAAGAAGCCCCCACATAAGCCAATAAGGCTGTATGGGCTCTTTATCTCCTGGTAAGGAAATGTTCCAGAACCAACAACCCTTCTTCTGTGATGGAGAGGGTTGAAAGATTATACACAAAGGATTGCCTTTCCCAACAATTCTAAACAAACACAATTACATGTAAAAATTTCATGAATTCCTTGATTTTCTACAACACTCAGAATGCTAAAATAGAACTCTGTCAGTATTTCTCAACCAACTAATACACAATCTTGCTTTAAAGATACTCATTTAATATATATTGACTCATTAACATGACCTCAGTCATTAACACTGTAAACCCATGCCTGAACAAAGCTTATCTCACATAGAAATTTTCTCCATAGGGCACATCCTGCCTTCTTGCGCCAAAGACCACTAGTCAAGGAGCAGGCATTTGGTACAGTTTTTACGACACCCGAATCTTATATCAGAGTGCCTTGGTTCAAGTCCCAACTCTATTTCTGATTCCAACTCCCTGCTGTATGCACCCTGGGAGGCAGGAGGTGATGGCTCAGGTAATTGGGTCACTGTGACCCCATGTGTGAGACCCAGATTCAGTTCTGGATTCCTGGTTTTGGCCTGGCCCACCCCGAGCTGTTGCAGGCATTTGGGAAGTGAACCAACAAATTGTAGCACATGCCTTCTCTCTCTACCTTTTAAGTAAAATGAAGATAAAAACAAATTTATTTATTTTTAAAAATACACTAACCAGGACTTCAGTACTATGCATGGGGGTCATTTTAAATAGTGAAATCACAAACAAACAAACAAACAAACAAAAACCACAGCACAGTCAACAGACTACAAAAATGGTATTTGCTTTCAATATGAGAGCTGAAACAGAAGGCAGTGTGTTGCCTTCAACCCAAGCTGGTCACATGCATTCCAGGTGACTCGAATCCTTTTTTACTCTCTACATGTCCACAAAACAAAAAAAACCTACAAGTATTCATCTTGTGGCTAAGGTAAATTTTATAGAGTGAGTAAATTCTAGCAAGTAGATAAACATGCAAATATTGAACCCATGAATAATGGGGATGGACTTTCTTAGAGAAAAATGGAAAGGAAATGAGATTCAAGTAGGAAAAGATATGTCTCTGGAAGTCAAGCAGTCTACTGTGAAGCATGAGGTTGCAGAACAGTCAGTAAAAGGATTGCGCATACAGGAGATCCTCTTACCTCACTGTAGGAGGAATGAAAAGAAAAGCAAGCTCTGTATGAACTCTCTCCAGTCCTAAAGGGAAATACAAACCAAATTTAAGTTACTTAGGAAAACTGAGTTCTAAACTTTAATTCTTCGCGTTTAGGCTATTCCAGTATGAAATCACCATATTTTCAGGAATTCTTGGGATAGAAGTGAAAATTTGCCAGAAATTGAAATCTGTTGTAGACATGCTGAATAGGCAAAGTTAAGAAAATGTTGCTGAGGTGCATTAGCATCATGATAACTTGTCTGGTCCACCAAGGACTTCTATTCTGTACAACACCAATTTACAACTTGGAGATAAGCACTCTCCAACCACTTATCTAACTAAGTAGAGTAACCCCTAGGAGAGACTGGCTAATGGTATTGTGATAAGTCTGGAAGCAGCATCTGTCCAGTGCAAATGAAGTTTAAATCTAAGAAATTATTTTCCACTTTTATAATATATGCTCTTGGGCGTAGGCTAGACTGTGTTACATTAAATTAAATCAGACAATTTATCCCAAAACAAGGTTCTCGCAGAAGACCTATGACCCTTCTTTCTCACCTCACAATTACATTTGTTTTTCTGGTTCTTTCTCCAAACCACATGGTAGATGGCTTAATGCTGATTGTGTGAAGTGGAATTCTATTTCTGGAAGTAATTCCACAGGGTAATTTGTTCCAATGAAAATATTCCTCTGCCTACAAAAGACAATTGAAAAAAAACAGTTGTACTTTTTCAACAAATATATTTGTATGGCAGGTCTCAAAAACAAATCTAGGTAAGTTTTCAGACATAAAGAAGAAAATATAAGGATGGCTAGTTGGCCTAGTGATTAAGATGCTTGCATCCCACATCAGAATTCCTGGGTTTGGTATCCAACCCTGGCTCCTGACTCCACCTTCCTGATAATGTAGACACTAAGCACTGACAATAGCTCAAGTAATTGGATTCCTGCCAGCCACGTAGGAGACATGGATTTCATTCCACTTCTTGGCTTTGGTCTTGGTCCTGGCTCTGCCCTGGTCTTTGCAGTTCACTTGGGGAGTGAATCAGCAACTGGAAGACGTGTCTCTCTCTCCTCTCCCCCAGTAATTAATTTTTTTAAAGTAGACTTGAGGAAACAGATAATTCCAAGTTGAAGAACATTCTATAAAACAGGTGACTTGGATCTTCAAAACAATCAATGTGAGGAACAAAAACAAAGATTACATACTCAATCTACATCCAAAGAGATGCTTTAGGCCTGACTGAATGCAATGCATGACCCTTAATTAAATCCTGGATGCTTTCACTCCCCTTTCCCTACAAGATGTGAAGGACACTATTGGGACAACTGGAGAAATTTGAATATGGAATGTATACTAGCTATAGTATCAATATTTCTCAAGGAGGAGAGTCATCTTGTGGTTGATTATACAGGAGAATGTTCTTGTTCTCAATAGTTAACATACTCAAGGATTTAGAGCAAAATGCCATGAAGGCTGCAGCTTGCTCAGTTTGGGGTGGAGGGGTTGGCTACAGGGGAAGAAAATAGGGCACAGTATCAACAAACTGATGAATCCGGATAAAGTGACAATGTGTTGTTTCTGCTAGTCTTACAACTTTACAGTTTTAAAGTTTTTCAAAATACAGTTGGAGAAGAAAAGTAATAATAAAGGTGTTTTTGAAAGTTGAAAGATAATGGCATGACTTTTCCAAAGACATTGTTTATAGATACAGATCCTTCAAAACCATTAACACTCCACCCCAATGAAATGTCTTCAGAGTGCCTTTGGTGCTACTGAGAGTGAGACAGGATTCTACAAGCTCTGAACCTATCAATCAATATTTTTAATGGCTACGATGACCTAAGAAATACCTTAAGCCTCTAGAAGTAGTTTCAAGAAAAGTAGCTGTGTGAAAAAACACAATAATAGTAATTACAAATTAAGCTACTTTGTGAGATGGGAGAAAGATTCAGAGTAAAACTAAATTTTCTTGGACATGGAGTCCAAGACTACAAGTCAAACAGACAAAAGAACCAACAGCTTATATTTGTGTCTACATTATTTTTCACCTATCTAAGAGTTCATTGGTTGCAGGCATATATACAACTACACAGACAAATGCTCTTCAACTTACAGCTCAATAAACCTATCTAAGTTGAAAATATCTTGGGCACTTACTACACCTAAACTACTGAATATCACAGCTTAGTAACAGCTCACAGTGGAGTCTCAGTTGTTTCCCTTCAAGTTCACAGGGCTGACCGATTTCAAATTGCAACTTACTTGTAATTCATTTTATAATGCTACCATAGGACATCCTTCTGTTATTAAATGTTGGAGAAAGGGCTTTTTTCTCCCTTTTAATTATTCAGCTAATTAGTGATCTTCAAACCCAGAGGCAGAGAGAGGTCTTCCATCGCTGGTTCACTCCCCAAATGGCCACAAAGGCTGGAGCTGGGCTTCTCTGAATGCTGGCACTGCAGGCAGAGGCTTAAGCAGCTAGGCCACAGTGCTGGCCCCTCCTCTAAATTTTAAAGCATTAGCACTCAAATGCCCAGTACTTTTGTTTAGCAAACACAGCATGCATTTACATTACAATGGTAATATTCCCTCCATCAGTCAAAAACATTAAGTTGCTTGACCCTTATAATAAAGTCTAATTTTAACAAAAACAACAAAAAATAATTCTTACCTGTAGCATGGAATGTTCTACTTGAAGCCACTTTAAGAGAGCTACAAGGTAAGAAATTACTTTTGATGATTGGTAAGCTAAAATCCCGATATTTACAACAAAATGAATGCAACTGAGGAACATTATGCTAAGTGAAATAAGCCAGACCTAAAAAGACAAACACCACATGTTTACTCTTATTTGTGGTAGTAAATATATAGAGTATAAAAACGTGGATGGCGGTCGGTGCTATGGTGTAGCAGGTAAAGCTGCCATGCCGGCATCCCATATGGGCATCAGTTCCAAGTCCCAGCTGCTCCACTTGGGATGCAGCTCCCTGCTAATGCACCTGGGAAAACAGCAGAAGATGGTCCAAGTACTTGAGGCCCTGCACCCATGTGGGAGACCCAAAAGAAGCTCCTGGCCCCAGCCTCAGCTCAGCCCAGCAAGCTGTGCTCCATATGCTCATCTGGGGAGTGAACCCAGTGGAGGGAGCTCTCTCTCTCCCTCCTCTCTTTCTCTCTCTGTAACTCCATTTTTCAAATAAAATAATAAAGCTTAAAAAAACCTGTGGATATCATATGATTCAGTATATGGTTATAGGGAGGGTTTCACTGAATCATACCATGTAAATGACAATAGATTATTCTTACATTTAAAAAAAGAAGAAATGGGGGGAATAGTGAGGACTCTTGTGGTACTGGTCATGCTTTGTTCTTAACTTTGGTATTGGTTAGGAATGTGATTAGATGACCAAAACCAATCTACCTGTACACTTATGTGCATTTCTTGTGTACATATACATGTATGTATATGTATATATACACACGTGTATACTCCTCTGTATATACACACATATACATATATGTATATATATGTACACACACAGTATTTCAATAAAACATTAAAAGAAAATCCCAAGGTTAGCACATACAACTTGCTTCCTACAGTGCTGGCGTCCCATATGAGCACCAATTTAAGTCCTGGCTGCTCTATCTGCAATCCAGCTCCCTGCATATTTACCCCTGGGAAAGCAGCAGAAGATGGCCCAAGTGCTTGAGCCCCTGTTCCCATGCGGGAGACCCAGATGAAGCTCCTGGCTCTGGCCTGCCCCAGCCCTGGCCATTGCAACCACTTGGGGAGTAAACCAGCTCTCTGTTTCTCCTTCTTTAACTCTGCCTACAAATAAATTAATAGGAATTTTTTAAAAAGGAAAGATATGAAATTATTTGATACAAAAGAAAGAAATTCCTTTTGATGATCGGTAAGCTGTATAACTTGAATTTGTGCATTTATTTCTTTTGTGTGTGCACACATGTATATATTCATGTTTATACATACATACAGATGGTCCTTGACCTATGATTTTTCAGCTTCATGATAAGCATTCAGTAGAGATTGTACTTTGAATTTTACTTTTTCCTGGGCTAGCAATATGCAGTACAGTTCTCAGTACAGGATGCTGAGTGGCAGCTGCAAGCCACAGCTCAGTTTGTTTTTTAATGTTACCATGGAACGGAGCAATATTCAAAATCGGACTATCAATACATGTAACTACTTCAAATTTTAAAGGAAAGTTATATCTATCTCAAATGAGAATCAAAATACAGTGTATGAACATGTACATGTCATAAGTTTCAAAAATAAAAATTGGAATGTGAATGTTTCCTTAAATTATAAGCTTTAACATTTAACTTCATTATAAATAAATCTATACTTCTTCTTCTTCTTCTTCTTTTTTTTTTTTTGACAGGCAGAGTGGACAGTGAGAAAGAGAGAGACAGAGAGAAAGGTCTTCCTTTGCCGTTGGTTCACCCTCCAATGGCCACCGCGGCCGGCCGCAGCTGCGTTGATCCGAAGGCAGGAGCCAGGTACTTCTCCTGGTCTCCCATGGGGTGCAGGGTCCAAGCACTTGGGCCATCCTCCACTGCACTCCCTGGCCATAGCAGAGAGCTGGCCTGGAAGAGGGGCAACCGGGACAGAATCCGGCGCCCTGACCGGGACTAGAACCCGGTGTGCTGGTGCCGCAAGGTGGAGGATTAGCCTAGTGAGCCACGGCGCCGGCCAATCTATACTTTCAAATGTGCATGAACAGACTCATTAAAACCATGAGGATCTGGGCCGGTGCCGCGGCTCACTAGGTTAATCCTCCGTCTGCAGTGCCGGCACCCTGGGTTCTAGTCCCGGTCAGGGCGCCAGATTCTGTCCCGGTTGCTCCTTTTCCAGTCCAGCTCTCTGCTGTGGCCTGGGAGTGCAGTGGAGAAGGCCCAGGTGCTTGGGCCCTGCACCCGCATGGGAGACCAGGGTAAGTACCTGGCTCCTGGCTTCAGATTGGCGCAGCATGCCAGCTGCAATGTGTCGGCTGTAGTGGCCACTTTGGGGGTGAACCAATGGAAAAAGAAGACCTTTCTCTCTGTCTCTCACCGTCTAACTCTGCCTGTCAAAAAAACAAACAAACAAACAAAAAAAAACCACCTATGAGGATCCAGGTATATTACTAGTTTTTTATTAAGATTTATTTTATTTATCTGTAGGACAGAATGACAGAGGGAGAAATGCCAGTGTGGCAGGCAGTGGCTTAACCGGCTGTGGCATGACGCTGGCCCAAGTATTCAGATTTGTAAAGGCAGGAGCCTCCAAATGGAAGGTCTGAAATTCCTTATCGTCCCAAAATTGTACTTTCTGTCAGTCTCACAAACAGTCCAAGGGCAAGTACTCAATCATGTACCTTTGGATGCCGACACGCATGGATCTGGGTGCTGCGATCTGTTGTGAGATGATGAAGAATGTCCGGCATGTTTCTAAACATGTCCAGCCTATCCACGTGAACCTAGGAAAATACAGAAGCAATGTATATCCAATAAATAAGTTGCCAAGGGTAATTATTCAGGGCAAAGCAAACTTTTTCTTTGTGTAACTTCATTTCTGGGGACTTCAACGCATATTAGTGTCCCGCAAGGGTGTCAATGGGCAAAGGTCCAAGCCAGTCAGGGTGACTGCCTATTGCTGATGGCACTAAAAAATCAGAGACTCAGCTTGCAGATTTCATCTGATCATGCTAATACTGTTCTGCAGTCTTTCAGAAGTCATCCAATTAACATTTTTTGTGTGCCTACTCTATGACAAACTTTATTCTCAATACTGGGTACTTACTTGGCAGTGAACAAAGCAGACAAAAAGATATCAAGAATCACCTCCTCCTACAGACATACATGTGACATGTCACGGAGCGTCAGCTGGAGGGAAAGAAGTCTGGGCTAGGAAGCAGGGAACCAGATCACCCTCCCACCAGATGCCCTTTTACTAGGCTGAGATGGAGGGTGGGGCCAGTGTTGTGGCATGGTGGGTAAAGCTACCACCTGTGACACCGGCATCCCATATGGGCACCAGCTCGTGTCCCAGCTGCTCCACTTCTGATCCATCTCCCTGTTAATGGCCTAGGTAAAGGGCCCAACCGCTTGGGCCCCTGCATGGGAGGCCTGGATGCAGTTCCTGGCTCCTGGCTTTGGCCTAGCCCAGCCCCAGCCCCAGCCGTTGCAGCTGTCTAGGGAGTGAATCAGGTAGATGGAAGATCTTTGTCTCTCCCTCTATTTCTGTAACTCTGACTTTCAAATACTAATCCCCCATTAACAAAGAAAAAATTAAAGAAAAAAAAAAATGAAGGGCAGATGCAGAAAAACCAATATTAAAACCTTGGCCACTTTCAGAATTTTAAAGCTAATACATTTGAAGCATTAAAGCCAATGTGTCATTTTTATTAAAACTTATTTTCTGGGTACTTCAAATTAGAAGGATTTTTTTTTATAAGTTATTTATTTACTTGAAAGGCAAAATTTACAGAGAGAGAGGGAGACAGAAAAAGAGAGAGATCTTCCATCTACCAATTCACTTCCCAAATAGCTACAACGACCAGGGCTGGGCCAAGCCTGAGTCAGGAGCCTGGAGCTTCTTCTGGGTCTCCCATATGGATGCGGGGGCCCAAGGATTTGGGCCATCTTCTACTGCTTTCCCAGGTACATTAGCAGGGAGCTGGATCAGAAGTACAGAAACCAGGACACACACAGATCTTCCATCCACTGGGTCACACTCCAATGGCCAGAGCCAGGCCAGGCCAAAGCCAGGAACCAAGAATCTCATGTGGGTCTCATGAGAGTTGGCAGGGGCCTGAACACTTGGGCCATCTTCCACTGCTTTCCAGGTGAATTAGCAGGGAGCTGGTGCCCATATGGGATGCTGGCATTGCAGGCAGTGGCTTAATCCATCATGTCACAACACCAGCCCCTAAAATGAATTATAATAATAGGATTATGGAATGGCAAATAAGGAAGGAATTTTTAAAAATTCGATTGCAGATATCTGGGGCCGGTGTTGTGGCATAGCAGATAAAGCTGCCACCTGCAGTGCTGGCATCCTATATGGGCGCTGGTTCAAGTCCCAGCTGCTCCATTTCCAATCCAGCTCTCTGCTCTGGCCTGGGAAAGCAGTAGAAGATGGCCCAAATGCTTGGGTCCCTGCACCCACATGGGAGACCCAAAAGAAGCTCCTGGCTTCAGATCGGCACAGCTCTGGCCATTGCAGCCATTTGGGGAGTGAACAAGCAGATGGAAGACCTTTCTCTCTCTCTACCTCTGCATCCCTGTAATTCTGCCTTTCAAATAAATAAATAAATATTTTTAAAAATGCAGATATCTGAATAACTTCTCATTTGATGTCTGCATAACAGAATTATGTCAAACTGTTTTGTGACTGATATTAAGTACAAAAAAGATTAAAAACATAATTGTGACCCATTCTATTTGCTACCTATTTACTAATGACCCATAAGAAGTAATAGTGATTTCATTTTCTGGGTTCTCAAAGGAGGACAGCAGGAAAAGGGGTAAATTCTGAGATATATAAAGAGAGGTATAGAAAGTATCAGCCCTAAAAAAATTTAAATAAAACAAAATTTTAAAAAAGCATCAGCCTTGAAACCAGTGTTGTGGTACAGTGGGTTAAGCCACTGCCTGTGCTGCCAGCCTCTCATGAATGCTGGTTTGAGTCCCAGTTACTCTGATTCTGATCCAGCTCCCTGCTAATTCACCTGGAAAGCAGTGGAAGATGGCCCAAGTGTTCAGGCCCCTGCCAACTCTCATGAGACCCACATGAGATTCTTGGTTCCTGGCTTTGGCCTGGCCTGGCTTTGGCCATTGGAGTGTGAACCAGTGGATGGAAGATCTGTGTGTGTGCATGTGTGTGTGTGTGTGTGTCCCTCCCTCTCTCTAACTCTACCTTTCATATAAATAAAAAATTTTAAAATAAGTTTAAATAATGTATCATCCTCACAAAAATCAAGATGATTGTAAAAGTAGCCAGAGATCACTGCTGATATCCCTTAGTCCAGAACTTCACTGTCAGAGTGACCGAGGTCACAACTTATATACCAGGAAGAGAGGAGTTGGTAGGTTCCAAACACAGAGCAGGTAAGGAAAGAGAAAGGCTAGTTTATGATGTGATTAGTTGATACTATGTACATGTGTGGAAATACTGCATTGTACCCCCCAAAAAATTCCACGTTAATCAAAAACATCTAATAACATAATTTTTTAAAAGACTTATTTGTTTGAAAGTCAGAGTTACACAGAGAGAAGAGAGGCAGAGAGAGGGACAAAGAGGTCTTCCATCTGCTAGTTTACTCCCTAATTGGCTGCAATGGTGGAGCTGTGCCAATCTGAAGCCAAGAACTGGGAGCTTCCTCCAGGTCTTCCCACTTGGATACAGGGGCCCAAGGCCATGGGCCATCTTCTACTGCTTTCCCAGGCAGAGAGCTGGATTGGAAGTAGAGCAGCTGGGACTTGAACCGGCAGTGATATGGGATGCCAGCACTGCAGGCGGTGGCTTTACCTGCTATGCCACAGCACCGGCTCCCAAAATAATTTTTTGTAACTCACTGGTCTTCCCTTTTTTCTGATCTGCAAAAGGGTCAATAGAATTAAGACAGGGCTCACTTAGAGAACTCAGAGGTCACCACTGGAAGGCCTCTCTCCTGTCACCCCCAAGGACTCTAGAATAGTAGCTTCCAGTCTTTTCCATTCCTCATGCCACTAGTTATTGACTAAACAAACTGGGAAATGACAAATGGGTGCTGTCTTTGTATTTGCCAAGAGAAGACATGAAGAACAAACACAGCAGATGGTAGATGTAAGTCTACGTATGGGCACGTACACAATCTATTATTGCTGTGATTTTAATTTGAAAGCTGTGTTAGCACCATAACATATAGGAAGTACCAGCTCGGAATGAAAAGCAAGTCCTTCCCAAAACGGAGAATCTGCAACTTTACACTAATATGTTTGGACAGGACTTCAGTAAGGAAGAAATTAAGGAAAAAACAACTTAGTTAAGTAAGGACTTACCAAGTTGAAAAGGATAAAGGGAGAGAAGAAGGAAAATGGAAAAATTTTTGAAATTTCAAATAAAGAAAAACGATCTTTTTTTTTTTTTTTTAAGATTTATTTATTTATTCGAAGGTCAGAGTTACACAGAGAGAGGAGAGGCAGAGAAAGAGAGGTCTTCCATCCACTGGGTTCACTCCCCAAATGGCCACAATGGCTGGGGCCAGACCAGGCCAAAGCCAGGAGCTTCATTAGGGTCTCCCATGTGGGTGCAAGTGCCCAAGCACTTGGGCCATATTTCACTGATTTCCCAGGCACGTGGGCAGGAAGCTGGATAGGAAGTGGAGCAGTCAGGACTTGGACTAGTGCTCATATGGGATGCTGGCGCTGGAGGCAGCAGCTTAACCTGCTACGCCACAGTGATGGTCTTCCATTTTTAAAATTATATAAAATGCACTTTAGTAAAGTTAAGTTCTTGGCACAAGTTTGTTAGGTGGGGAACTAGATTAAAAGGTAAAGAATGAAGAAGAATTTAAACATTTAACCAGTTCCAAGACTTCATTTTGTTCAGTCATTATCCAAAATCTACTTTCTCTTAGGGACAAAGGCACAAGTTGCATTCTTCATGTGAACACTGTGGGTAGGGGCTTCCTCCTTAGCAGTCCCCTCACACAATGTGGGCTCTGCTGCTCTGGGCCTCAGAGTCCAGCACTGAGCACTGGGAGGAACCATCTGGAAGGCAGAAGTGAAAACTCCCTCCCACTCTGATACTGAACCAGTGCTCCCAGGACACTGTTCTTCACATTGCTGACAGTGACCCACAGTAAGAAGCGGTATTCCCACACAACCTGGTAGACATATACATATGACGGTACTTGAAAAAGTTTGGAAAATGGAATTAAAACATTCTGGTACAGGGGCTGGCACTGTGGCATAGTAGGTTAAACCTCTGCTTGTGGCACCAGCATCCCATGTGGGTGCTGGTTCGTGTATGGGCTGCTCCTCTTCAGATCCAGCTCTCTGCTGATGGCCTTGGAAAGCGGTGGAAGATGGTCCAAGTGCTTGGGCCCCTATACCCATGGGGGAGACCCAAAAGAAGCTCCTGGCTCCTAGTTTCAGATCAGCCCGGCTCTGGTGGTTGCACCCATTTGGGTAGTTAACCTGTGGATGGAAGACCTTTCTCTTTGCTTCTCAAATAAATAAATAAAATACAAAAAAAAAAAAAAAAAAAAAAGAGAGCAAGAGAAAGAGAGAGAAAAGAAAGAAAGAGAGAGAGAGGAAAGAAAGAAAGAAAGAAAGAAAGAAAGAAAGAAAGAAAGACAGAGAGAGAGAGGAAAGAAAGAAAGAGAGAGAGAGAGAGAGAGGAAAGAAAGAAAGAGAGAGAGAGAGAGAGAGAGAAAGAAAAAGAGAGCCTTTAAAAAAAGAGGGGCCGGTGCTGTGGCTCACTTCATTAATCCTCTACCTGTGGTGCCGGCATCCCATGTGGGCACCGGGTTCTAGTCCCAGTTGCTCCTCTTCCAGCCCAGCTCTCTGCTGTGGCCCGGGAGTGCAGTGGAGGATGGCCCAGGTGCTTGGGCCCCTGCACCCACATGGGAGACCAGGAGGAAGCACCTGGCTCCTGGCTTTGGATCGGCGCAGTGCTGGCCACAGCAGCCATCTGGGGAGTGAACCAACGGAAGGAAGACCTTTCTCTCTGTCTCTCTCTCTCACTGTCTATAATTCTACCTGTCAAATTAAAAAAAAAGAGAGAGAGGGAGATTCTGAGGGGCCTGGCGATGTGGTGTAGCAAGTTACAGACAGCTTGCAGGGCTGGCATCCCATGTGGGTGCCTGTTCAAGTCATGGCTGCTCCACTTCTGATCCAGCTCCCTGCTAATGGCCTGGGAAAGCAGCACAGGATAGCCCAAGTCCCTGGACTGCTACACCCATGTAGGAGATCTGGAAGAAATTCCTGGCTCCTGATCAGCTCAGCACTGGCCATTGTGGCCATTTGGGGAGTAAACCAGTGGATGGAAGACCCCTCTCTCTCTCTCTCTCTCTCTCTCTCTCTACTTCTCTGTACCTCTTTCAAATAGTTTTTTAAAAAGTTCATTAAAAAAAGATAAATCTTGAAAATCCATGTGTGGTTTTTTCATAATATGTATTTTTTATTAAATTTTTGAAGATGCATCAAATGTGTCTACTCCCCAAGTAGATCTCAAAATTATCAATAACCTCACTGCAAGCAATAAATTCAGACCTCTCCCTGTCTGAATTCATTTTCAGTGCTCATCATAATCACTAAATTTATCTGAGGACCCACAATTTGGCAGAAACACTCCTGCTACTTCCCTGAAGGCTCTTGGAAGCCACTCGGGCTCCCATCTGTTTCCGCACAGGAGGAAGCAACTGTATAGACGCCAGTGTAATGTACACTTCCCAGGGGCCACCCCACACTGCAGACCCGCTTTGATAGGCCACTTCCCACTGTCACTGTTTTCAGTTATTTGGGGGCAAGCAGAGGAAGGAATGGTCAAGTCAGGAGGATGCAAAGAAGTAAGAAACAAGAATGAACAGTCACTGTACCTGGACTCCCAATTCTTCACTAAGGTTGGTGAACAAATACTCATAGCCGTAAGCCGCTTTACAGTTTAGCCAGACAACATGGTACGGACTCCGAGTGATCCAGCTTCGAACCAGCTCCAAAATCCCATTTAAACATTCCTCCTAGGCGGCATTTTTTAAAGATTCTAATTAACACTGTGAAGAGGCTCCTTTTTCCTTCCCAACATTCACCAGCATCCACGCCAAGGGGAGCAACTAGGATCTGACATTGTGTCATCCGACAAACTTCCAGAAAGAAATGGGGCTGTGCCCCGGTATCACCCTGTTCCTCCAGGCAGACTTACCCGACTTGGAATTTGATAAAATCTTGGATCACAGAAAGTAGTATCTAAATAGACACTTTGGATGTCTTTCACTCTGGAAGAAAAAGTTAGTGTTACCCATATAATGTGACACACATTACTTGCAAAATTTAAACTCTCAGTTTACAGGGTATTCCATTCCATTTGGAATTTCTTTGTTAAATCCACTTTGTTGAAAAATAATTCCAGTATAAGAAGAGACACAGATACAGATTTTATATCAACAATGTAGTGAATTTTTAACACAGTCATGTAACTACTATCCCAATCAATATTCACAACACTCTATTTACCCCTACTCCTACAAATAATATAATCAAATTGAGTTTCTAATAGAAGTAAAGGCTTGAGTTTGCTGGGAAAAGAGCAAAAAATTCTCTTTCTTTTTTTTGAGAGGTAGAGGGCTCTCATCTGATTCTGGTTCACTTCCCAGATATTACAACCACCAGGGCTGGGCTGGGCTGGGCTGTGAACTCAGTCCAGTTATCTCTGTAATTGGGTGGCAGGAACCCACTTGAGCCATGAGCTCTGTTTTCAGGCATATGCATTAGCAGGAAGCTGGGGGCAGGAGGCAGAGCTGGGAATAAAACCCAGGTACTCTGATACGGGATGTAGCCATCTTAACCATCACCTTAACAGACTAAACACCCACCCCAAAACTTTTTAAACTACTTAAAAACTTTTTAAACTTTTTAAACTATTAAAAAAAGTTAAAGCTTTTTAAACTATTCAAAAATTTCATAAGGCCCAGTACCTGCCACCAGAGTGCAGAAGTTCCATTCTGGCAGCTTCTCCTTTTGCCAGTCTGAAATCTCCTGTGTACAAGACAGTTCCATTACTGCCCTGAAATAAAAACCTGGGAAAAAAAAAAAAGCCTCAGTGACTTCCAAGTCCCAAAAAATGTTAATAAAGCAAATACAGGCTAAACCCATGGCAAAAGCTTGCAGCTAAATACAGCCATCATGATATATTGTCAGTGGCATTTCAATAGCTCTAAATGTACACACCAGGCCCTTAAGTGTCACCTCTTCCAGGGCAGAAAGAACAGCAAAACAGAGATGCCACTGGGTATATAACAGATGGTCCCCATAGCGTTAATACTCTCAATTATATTTTGAGATAATTTCTGTTCAAGAAGCAAAAAATCCATGTGACATGTGATAAGAAAAATCACATTTCAAATTTGATCTTTACTTCAGACTCCAAGTCCAATTTGGAAACAATTAAAGAAATTGACAGAAAAATAGTGAAATGTCCCTCTACCTATACCTATTATTTTTTAGACCTCAGCAGTTTATTTCTATAAACATAATACACAGTTACACATAATGCAAAACAGATGAGCCCCTTACATAACTGATCCTGGGCAGTGACCAGCTGGTAAGAGAGTCACAACAATTTCTTCCTTCTAAAAAGAAAATAAAGAAAAGAATCTTAACAGAAATTATCAATAGGACCCAGCTAAACAAAGACATCCTTAACACTACAGGTTCAAGCACCATTACAGAATGTGCCTTTTCTCCCAAGTTTCCTCATTAATAAATCCTGGAAACAAGTGAAATCTTTGTCCACTCAACAATTAAACACAGAGTTAGCACAGGACTCAGCAATTCTGCCTCTAACTGTATACCCAAAAGAAATGAAAACTTAAGCCCACGCAAAAACTTGTGCATGAAGATTTCAAAGAGTGTTTCATACTGGCCAAAAAAGAGAAATGGTCCAAATATCTGTCAGCTGATGAATGAATAAACAAAATGAGGAACAGCTCTACCATGGAATATTACGTAGCCATAAAAAGGAATAAAGTCACAACACATGCTACAACATGGACGACCCCTGAAAACGAGGTACCGAATGAAAAAAGCCAGACACAAAAGCTGACTGGATGCTTCCATCGACATGAAGTGCCCAGAATAGTAAGTCCAGACAGACAGAAGAACAGTGGCTGCCAGGGCGGGGAGAAGGGGAGTTCCTCCATTGAATTCACCACACCGTTCTACACGTGTCCCGCGAGGGCAGGGCACCAGACCTGCCAGTGGCTCCTCACTGATTCCTCAAGGAGGCCTTCATCATTCCCTGCTATTTCTACTTTCCATTTTTAAACTTTCAATTTTAGAATAGTTTGAAGTTGACAAAACAAAAATTGTAGGGTTGTACAGAGTTCCCACACCTGCTTCCCCTAGTATTATATTAGTAGATTTGTCACAATCCATAAGCCTCACCAAACTCCCTCTCTCCTCCCACGCCTCCCAGCTTCTAGCAACATCCTGGGTCACTGAGCTCCCACCGATGAGGAAGAATGCGTAGTATCTGTGTCCAAGTTACTTCACTTAGCATCACATCCTCTAGTTCCATCTATTTTGCTGCAAATGACAGGATTTTATTCTGAAAGTCCCTCCTGGGTGGGTCTCCCATTGACTGGAGCTTGAAAAACACTGCACAAAAGCAATGGCTTTGGAGAAGGAACAAAAAGGAGAGAGTGGGACAGCAAGATTCTGCTCAGCAAGAGCCTCCCGCTGCCCGCTGCCCAGGTCTGAGACAGTCTTTCACCAATACCCACGATGTGACAAGGCTGCAAACCAGCTACAACAGCACCGCCTGAAGAGGCAGCCAGCTAAGTGAGTCAGGACAGTCTTTGGAAAGCTGTCAGTCATTCTTTCCCTTTTTAAACTGTATTAAACTGGCTCTGTAGTCTTCCCTTAGGAAAATTTTTTATGTTTATTTCTTTTCCTTTACTTGAAAGGGGGTGGGGCAGAGAGGGACAGGGATTCCATGTACTGGTTCACTCCCCAAATGCCCCCACAGCCAGAGCTGTGTCAGGCTGAAGTCAGGAGCCCAGAACTCCACCCCAGATTCCCACGCGGGTGGCAAGGGCCCAAACACTTGACCCGTCTTCTGCCTCCCAGGCTGCATTCTCAGAGAGCTGGATGAGAAGCGAGGAGCTGAGACTCAAAAATCAGCACTCCAACAGGGTATGTGGGCATCCCAAACATGCTTTAATGCACTGTGCCACAACACTCATCTCATCAGGATAACTGGGTGAGAGGAACATTCCAGCGTCAGTCAACTGCTTAATTTTCTTTAAAGAAGAAACATCTGACAATGTTGGTCACTGTTCTGATCACAGTCACACAACACAAGGCACTCCCAGAGTCGAACTTGCAAAACAATGTGATAACCCAGCGACACAATAAATATTAACTAGATTTGCCATTAAATGAGCGGGGGGAGGTAGATACATTGCCCTAATTATTATTTTTAATTTTTTTTGACAGGTAGAGTTACAGTGAGAGAGAGGCAGACAGAAAAGTCTTCCTTCTGTTGGTTCACCCCCAAAATGACCTCTATGGCCAGAGCTGCGCTGATCCGAAGCCAGGAGCCAGGTGTTTCCTTGCGGTCTCCCATGTGGGTACTGGGGCCCAAGCACTTGTACCATCCTCCACTGCCTTCCCAGGCCACAGCAGAGAGTTGGACTGGAAGAGGAGCAACCGGGACTAGAACCCGGCACCCATATGGGATGCCAGTGCCACAGGCGGAAGATTACCCAAGTAAGCCACGGTGTCAGCCCCTGCCCTACTTATTATTAAAATAAGACATTTACAAAAGTACTACTTATAAACTTAAGGATAAAAACTAAATTTTATTTACCAAGTGACCTTTTATGAATAAGAATTATTTAGAAAAAAACTGTAACATTCATAAATGTACTGCAAAAATATTAATCACTGTTTTGTATCCTGAACATTATAATAAGCTTACAAATGTAACAATGACATCATATAGTAATAGTAAGATCTGGAGTTCCCATCATTAGCAAGTAACACTAAAATAATGTTGGGGTCTGCGCTGTGGCACAGTAGGTTAATCCTCCGCCTGCAGCGCCGGCATTCCATATGAGCGCCGGTTCTAGTTCCAGCTGCTCCTCTTCCCATCCAGCTCTCTGCTGTGGCCTGGGAAAGCACTGGAAGATGGCCTGAGTCCCTGGGCCCCTGCACCCATGTGGAAGACCCAGAGGAAGCTCCCGACTTCCGATCAGCGCAGCTCCAGCAGCTATCTGGGGAGTGAATCAGCGGATAGAAGACCTTCCTCCCTGTCTCTCCCTTTCACTGTCTGTAACTACCTCTCAAATAAATAAATAAATAATTTTTAAAAAATAATGTTGACAAAAACTAAGCCATGTCCAATCCTTTCAAAGTAGAAAATAAAAGCATTGCTGTTATGGACTGAATGCTTGTCCCCAGAATTAATTTGTTAAATCCTAACTCCCAGTGAGATTTTATTAGGCTTTGGGAGGTGATCAGTTCTTTTCTTTTTTCTTTAAGATCTATCTATTTGAAAGTCAGAGTTACAGAGGAAGAGAGGCACAGGCAAAGAGATAAGAGATCTTTCATCCACTTGTTCACCCTCCAAACAGCCGCAACAGCCAGTTCTGGGCCCTTCCAAAGCCAGGAGCTTCAGCTGGGTCTCCACGTGGGTGCAGGGACCTGGATTGGAAGTGGAGTAGCCGGAACTCAAACAGCACCCATGTGGGATGCTGGAGCTGCAGGCAGTGGCTTTACCCGCTATGCCACATCACCACCCCCAGGTGATCAGTTCTTAAAGGTAAAGCCCTCATGAATGGGATGAGAGGACTCATAAAAGCCCAAGGGAGCTGGGTTGCCTTTTCTGTCCTGTGAAGATACAGGGAAAAGATGCCAGCCTATGAACAAAAAAACAGGCCCTCACCAGGCACTAAAGCATCTAGAGTCTTGGTCTTGGTCAGGACTACATGACATAAATGTCTGCTGTTTAAGCCGCAATCTGTTGTTTTTGTGACAGAAACCCAAATGAACTAAGACATTCACAAATATCTTGCTTTGTTTTTCTAAAAACTTGTGTAACGGTTAAATGAACATCCAAAATCAAGGAGCAGGCAAGCATTTTGTAGTGATTCAGATGTCAGTTGGGACACTTGCATCCCAGATTGGGGTACCTGGACTCAAGTCCCAGCTCCACTCCTGATTTCAGTTTCCTTTCAGTATGCCGCCTGGGAGGCAGCAGTCGGGTTCCTGCCGCCCACATGGGAGATCCCGACTGAGTCCCCAGCTCCTGCTTCAGCCTGGCCCAGCCCTGCTGCAGGGAGTCAGAGTGCATGGAGACTCTCCATCTCTTTTTCTGTCCCTCTCTCTCTCTCTTCTTTCTACCTTTCAAGTTAAAAATGTAAAGAAACAAAATTCTAGGAAAGAAGATTTTAGAAGAAGAAACAATCATGCTAGCATTTTTTTTTAAAATATACTTTTCTGTTAATTACACTTTGGGACATTGAAGGGGCTAGGAGATAGAACTGGATAGAAAGTACTACACTACTCATTTACCCCCATGCTACAACAATGAAAAAAAAAAAAAAAGGAAAAAGAAAGCAATATTTAATAGTTACCTCGCCTGATGCTTCATCAACTAATGATATCTGGGTAGGAGTTTCAGTTTCAATTGATATCTATTAAAATAAGAGACCATGTACATATCAGTTTTTCATTGCTTTATTACCTTTACCATCTCAAATAGTCTTTCTCTGTATAACAATTTCTGATTTCACTACAATAAATAGTTTAACAGCTTGAAAACATGATAACCCAAAAAGTGTAACTTTTTTAAGGCAGATTTGGCAATAGTATGAAATTATAAGGTGGGTGTATAGCCTAGCAGTTAAGCCAGCTACATCCATCAAAGGGCCTGGGCTCAAAGCCAACCCTGGCTATTGTGGCCATTTGGGGAATAAACCAGCACATGGAAAATCTCTGTCTCTTTCTCTATTTTTCAAATAAAATGAAAACAAATAGAAATCTTAAATAAAATATCCTGGCATTTCTGGAATAAAACATGTTATTAGTGATATATTTAATACTGTTACGTTCAGTTAGCCATGATCTTAATTAGGACTTTTATATATGTTCACATATGAAATACCTTTTACCACTTCTGCTATCATCTATTTTGTAGCAAAGGTAATCAGCTTATCTTTTTATTATTTTCTACAACTAATCTAATAGAAGAATTACTGGAGGGTATTCTTTATTTTATTTGAGACACATGGAGACACAGATGAACAAAGGGCTCCACCTGCTGGTTCACTCCCCACATAACCGGCAATGGCCAGGGCTCAGCCTGGCACAAACTGAGTCACCCAGGAAGAACTCAATTCAGGTTTCCATGTGGGTAACAGGGATCCAACTACTTGAACTATCACATCACCAGCTGACTCCCAGGCTCTGCATTGATGGGAAGCTGGTCTCAGGAATTGGAGCCAGAGCTCAAACCCAGGCACTCTAATATGGGATGCAGGAACCCCAATCGGCAGGTTAACTGCTGCACCAAACACCCACCCAGACCTTATTGTCTTTTGACTATTTGATAAAATACATCCACAAAACTATCTGTGCCTGTAGTTTTTTTTGTTAGGAAGAGATCATTAATAATTTAAAACATTTCTTTTATGCGACCTGATGCTGTGGCACAGTGGGTTAAGTTTCCACCTGTGATGCTGGCATCCCATATGAGCACGCGTTCAGGTCTCAGCTGCCTTTTATGATCAGCTGGCCCAAACGTAGGGAAAGAAAGAAGCCGGATTTAGAGCTGTCAGCAAACATCCAACAGACTCTTCACAACACCTGTGCAGACTTCGCTACCAGATCCCATGACCACGTGAGTCCTAATCCAAGCCCTGATTCTATTCACTTATTACGGCTCTCCTTCCTTGAGCCAGCACTGGTGACAGGTGCCAGCAGTGATGACTTTATCCAGTTGAAAGCTGCTTTGTCAGTGGCACATACGTTCGTATCTTCTTGACACCATTGTTCTTTTAACAGTAAATAACATCCTCTTTGAAACTTATGTTTGTGTGGGATTTTATGAATTCAATTCTACTTTGTTTGATATAAAAATTGCCACTCTAACATTTTGGGTTTCTAATTATTTAGCATCTCTATTTTCTTCCCTCCATTTCAATCTGAAAGTATCCTTTTTTCCCCTGTATCACTTGTAGATCCATGACGGGTGGATCTTTCTTATTCTTCTTGACTTACACTAATAAATTGCCTTTTGATAAAGAGTTGAATTAAATTCATCATATTTATGCTAATGAGTGTTATAATAGGACTTTTTCAGCCATTGTTGTGTTTTTTATGTACAGATGTCTGCTCTCCTTCCCCTTTACTAGTTTACATGGGACAGAGCCAATGTCCTTTGCAAGACTAAAAGCTATCCATTGCATTTTTATTATTCTGAAGGTTTCCCTCTTCTTAGAACCCGTAAGAAAAAAGGATATAGCAATTATGTGAATGACTATTTTACACTTTAACATATCAAAATGTGGGCCATGTGGCACAGCAGATTAAGCCTCTGCCTGTGGTGCCAGCATCCCATATGGGTGCCAGTTCAAGACCCAGCTGCTCCACTTCCAATCCAGCTTTCTCCTATGGCCTGGGAAAGCAGTGGAAGATGGCCCAAGTCCTTGGGCCCCTGCACACATATGGGAATCCTAGAAGAAGCTCCAGGCTTCAGCCTAGCGCAGCCCCAGCCATTGTGGCCATTTGGGGAGTGAACCATAGAGTGGATGATCTGTCTCTCCTCTCTCTGTAACTCTTTCAAATAAATAAAAAATAAATCTTTTAAAAAATTATAATGCATCTTATGTAGAAAGTCAATAAGATTAAATAAACCTGAAGCTCTTGATCAAACTCTAGAGGAAGAAAAACAAATTAACAGCAAAGTATCTTCCTCTTCTATGCTGCTGAATTATAAAGACCAAATATCAATATTCTAATTAACAAGGATAATTATAGTGTATGAGGTGTTGGGTTTGGTAGAATTCCAATACTTTTTTTCAATCTATCTCTAAAAATACTTCACACTTAAAAATAATTAGCATTATTCAAAAAATAAAACTTACAATTCGTTTCTCCCAAAATCTGTATTTTGGATTAGTTAACAACAACTCCTTGGTAACAGGTGAACAGTATAGATAAACCTTCAAGCTGAAAGGAAAAGACAATAATTTTAAAAATTAAAAATAAAGAGAAAACGTTCTCAGTACATTACAAAATGAGCTACCTTGGTGACTAGGAAATACACTGCATCACACATCGGTTGTCTATACTTCAGAAATTGTGCTGGCACATGAAATGTCAGGGTGGTTACCAACACACCTGTGCTCCATGGACTGTTTCGTATCTCAGTCCCACTGACAGCAAAAATGGAAGGAAAGACATAAGATCTGGTGAAATACTGTGTTTAAAGTACATAATCAGGTGCATGTGGAGAGATACCACCAGGGATGGGACACGGGATGCTGGGAACCAAGACTTCTGTTTTTCACTTCATTTAAATTTACTGCGTTTAAGTGAACAGAAATTAACTGAACATCAGCTTTAACAATGCAGTAGTGTAGTTTAGAAGTTAGGAGTACTGCCTGTGGTAGACTGTATTTTCCAGAGATGGTCACACGACTTTCCACTGCACCCATGCACTTTCTTCTCACAAAACAGATATCAAAATCCCTCCACTGACAGGAAGGGTACATGCCCCATTCCACTGGAGCTGGGAAAATTCGGCAATGCCTCAATCATGGAATACGGTGGGCACAGCTGTATGACCTCCGGAGCTGCAGCTTCCGGCAGTGCGGCTTTCTCTGGGTTCTCTCTTGGGCATGTGAGGGTGCTTCAAAAAGTTCATGGGAGATGCCTATTATGAAAAAACTAAGTACAGGTTTCAAAAATGTTTTGTTCCAAAAGAAACAACTTTTAATTCCATTTTTCCATAAACTTTCTGAACTCCATTAACTTGAGGTCTCCATTTATGAAGTCCAGTTCTCCTGAAACCACCCTGCTAAAGAGATTCCTTGGGGATAGAAAGGGGTGCCTAAGAAGCCCCAACTGTTCTAGCTTCTTGCTATTTGAGGCAGGAGTATTAGTGATTGAGGCTTCAGATAATTTCAGCCCCACGTGACTCCCAGGCAGGCAGAAGCCACCCATCCCACCATACCCTGCCAGAATTCTAGACCCAGGGAAACAGAGCCAACACATGACTTGTGTTGCTTTATGCAACTCAGTTTTGGAGTGATTTGTTACACAGCAACAGCTAACTGATACATAGGGTCTAAAGTCACACAGACCTTGTTGAAATCCTGGTCCTGCAACTTACTGGCTGCATGACACTGGACAACTAATTTAACCTCTCTGGTTCCTCAGTTTCCTCATCTGTAAAACATAAATGATAAGAATGGTATCGATTCCAAAGGTTATCAAGAGACACTAATGAGAACGTCGGCTCCACGAGGGCAGGATTTTCATATGTGTTGCTCACTCAACCTCCAGGACAAGGACAGACTCACTGCAGGCACTCAAAAAAATGTAGTTGCACTAAGAAATCAGAGTGCCCAGAATACAGTAAATATCCAATAATATCGCTGTCAAGAACACAGACTATGGTAAGCTATTAGCAGAGAAGCCTGACATCCATTGATTCGAAGGTCAAAGGATTCTCTCAAATACATATCTTAGGAGCCAAAGTTGTGGCACAGCAAGTTAAACCACCGTCTGCAACACTGGCCTCCCGTCTGAACACCAGTTCAGGTCTCAGCTGCTCTAATTCTGACCCAGCTCCCTGCTAATGTGCCTGGAAAAGCAGTGGAGAATAGTCTGGGTGCTTGGGCCCCTGCATCCACGTGGGTGACCCTGACGGAGTTCCAGACTCCTGACTTCTGCCTGGCCCAGCCCTGGCTGTTGTGGCCATATAGGGAGTGAAATCAGTGATTCCAAGATCTTTCTTGCATGCAGTCTCTCCCTCTCTGTCTGTAACTTTGCCTTTCAAATAAAAGCAGTAAATTAAATATATATATATACACACATATTTTTAAATAGAGTCACAGATATGTTTATTCTGCAATTTATCAGACTGTACTCTTGATGCATGTATTTTTCTGTATAGACATCTCTCAATTAAAATGTTTACTTTAAAAAGACACATAAAAAGTAGCAAGATAAATTACCTGCATTCCAATCTTCTTTTCAAGGTTGGGGCTCTTAGCCCTTTCATGTGATCTAAAAACAAAAGAGTAAAAAATCATTAATATTTTATTTATTTTTTTCAGAAGATTCCTAAGTCGAAGGAAACTGAATCATCTTTTTAAGTTTCCTGTTAAGAGAAAACACAAGAGGTTCATTATATAAGAGAACTAATTCACGTAGGCGCTCAGCCTTGTCTTCTACAGGCGAGAAATCCTTCTGAGAACAGAACAGGAAACACCAACAGTTGCCTGTCCCTGAGCCATCTAAAGCAAGGTGACCTGGCACATCTCAGGGCAGAGTCCATACCACTCCCAGCAACCACGGAAGAGCGGCGACTGCTTCCAGCCCTTCCTTTTACTCACTTCTTTCATTTCAACCCGAACAGTCTGCTGACTTCACTCTGTAACCTATTCAATTCCAAAGACAAAGGCGAGTCTGTTGATGAACTCAAGCTTACTTCTAGGGAATCCACCAGGAAATACTCAGGCTAGGCCAGAAGTGTTTCATTGTCACAGCCTCCAGTGGCTACTGGTTCAAAGACACTGGGGCCAACATTGTGGCCTAGAGGGTAAAGCCACCACCATATGGCTGCCGGTTTGAGTGCCGGCCACTCCACTTCTTATCCAGCTCCATGCTGATGTACCTGGGAAAGCAATGGATAATGACCCAAGACCTTGGGCCTCTGCACCCATGTGGGAGACCCAGATTTCTTTCTCTTTCTTTCCCTTTCTCTCTGTAACTCTGCCTTTTGTAAATAAAATAAATCTATTTAAAAAATAACAACAACAACAACAAAAAAAACAGAAAAGGTGAGTCGTCACTACCCATGCAGACTTGTTCCACAGCCCTCCAAGTTACCAGACAGAGAAAAGGTAACATTTAAGAAAGGTAACAGGGGGCTGGTGCTGTGATGTAGTGGATAAAGCCACACCTGCAGTGTCAGTATCCCACATGGGTGCTGGTTCGAGTCCCAGCTGCTCCACTTCTGATCCAGCTCTCTGCTATGGCCTGGGAAAGCAGAGAATATGGCCAAAGTCCTTTGGTCCCCTGCACCCATGTGGGAGACTTGGAAGAAGTTCCAGGCTCCTAGCTTTGGATCGGCCCAGCTCCAGCTGTTGCAGCTACTGGGGAGTGAACCAGCAGATGGGAGGCCTCTCTTCCTCTCTCTGTCTACCTCTGCATCTCTGTAACTCTGTTTTTCAAATAAATTAATAAATCCTAAAAAAAAAAAGATAACAGTACAGTCAACATATAGTACATTATAAATATATATACAATGCATTCTGAATCTTTAGCATGTAGAAGCCTAGACGATAATAACCAATTTTTAAAAAATATTCATTCATTTATTTATTTGAAAGGCAGAGTTACAGAGATAAAGAGAGAAGGAATGAAAGAGAGATCTTTCATCTGCCGGTTCACTCCCCAAATGGCTGCAACAACAGGACTGTACCAGGCTGAAGTCAGGAGCTTCTTCTGGGTCTCCCACATGGGTGGCAGGGGCCCAGGAACTTGTGCCATATTCTGCTGCTTTCCCAAGTGCATTAGCAGGGAGCTGGATCAGACATAGAGCAGCTGGGACACAAATTGGTGCCGCGGCTTAACCCGCTATGCCACAGCACTGGAGCGCCCACCAATTCTTTTAATTACCATTACCACCACCCTCACATACATGCCCACCCTATATCACTGGTGCTCCCAGCAGTCACAGCACCTCACCCAGTAGCCAATGACTGGACACGTATCCCAAAAGATCGACCTGTCCCCTCAGAGATGAGTGCTCGCAGGTCACACTTGGTTTAGTCTTTTAGGGGTACATCCCAAGGCAGGACTCCCTGTAACGGGTGTTTTTAAAGAGCTTGTGTCAAGGCAAAAAGGGGGCTGAGTCTAGTCTGTGCTCCATGCGCTCAGACTCAGCAGGCATCACCCTCCCCATCCTCTCCACCCTCACTAACTGGGTCAAGAGAATCTGGGTGAACTTACTTTGTGCTGTGAGAACCGCACCTATGGTCTTCACCAGAAAGAATCACTCTAAGTCGCCCCTTCAAAGAGTCTCCCCAACCCTCAGCCACTCAGATGCCCTCTCATCCTCTGGACCTTACTTTTCTTACTCCTACCCCCACCCTGGCAAGATCTGTTTATCTGAAAAGCAGAGTTACAGAGAGACAGAGATCTTCCAACCACTGGTTTATTCCCAAATGGCCTACAGAGCAGGGCCAGGCCTGAATCCCGAGGCCAGGAACTTCATTCTTGCCTCCCAGAGGGGTGGCAGGGCCCAAGTACTTGGGCCATCTTCCACTGCCTTCCCAGGTGCATTAGCAGGGAGCTGAATTGGAAGCCGGGCAGTCATGATTTGAACTGTCACTCAGAAGGGATACCTGAGTCACAGGGAGCAACTTGACCAGCTGCATCACAATGCTGACCCCTCTGGGCCTTACTAATGCTTAGCAAAGTCCAACCTGAACACAGTAGTGGATTCCAGACTGTCCACAAATAGGCACCATTTGGGTTCATGGCCTATTCCAAATGTTATCAAAATGTGACATTAATGTGTTCATATGCATTTTCTTTAATAGCAAAAGACTCCATAGATTTTTGTTAGATGCTCTTCATTAATCTGCTCAGGCTGTCATTAAAAAAATACATAAAATTGGTGGCTTACATAACAAAAATTTATTTTCTCACATTTCAAGAAACTATAAATTCAAAAATCAACATGCAGGCCCATCTGGCTTCAAGTGAGAGTTCTTTCCATGGCAGATAGACCAGCCAACTTCCAGTGTGTGCTCATGAAATTGGCCCCATCTCTTCCTCTTCTTAGAAGGCCGATAATCCTTTCAGAGTAGGACTCCCCCACACACCCTTATGACCTCTATTGACTTTAATTACCTCCTAAAAGCCCTATCCCCAAATACAGTCACAGTGGATAAAGGGCTTCAACACAGAAGCTTGAAGGAAACAGTCTAAGAAGTCTATGCCCCAAGGACCCACCGCTGTGGCATAGTGGGTTAAGTTGCAACCTGCAGTGCCATATGGGCATCTCATATGGGCACTCGTTAGAATCCGGCTGCCCCACTTCTGATCCAGCTCCCTAATAATGCACCTGGGAAAGCAGCGGAAAATGGTCCAAGTGTTTGGGACACTGCACCCACATGGGAAACAGGGATGAAGCTCCTGGCTGCAGTCTGGCCCAGCCCCAGCCATTGCATCCATTTGGCGAATGAACTAGCAAATGGAAGAGCTCTCTCTCTCTCTCTCTGTAACTCTCTGCCTTTCAAATAAATAAAATATATCTTTAAGATAACAACAAAAAATTCTATGTCCCAAAAGGGTTAAAAACCATCAACATGCACTATGGGAAACCTCCAGAGAAGTTGAGTCCTTGCCTTTGATGAGTTTACATCCTGGTTGCGTAAACAGATCCACGCAGGATTATTATAAATTGCTCCATAGTAGAAAGTTTCCTGCTTAATGTACAAACATGATGATATTTTCACAAATTCCTTTAGATGAATTATTTCTCCAATCTCTCACTACTCTTAAAAATGAAGGGCAAGCTCCTAAAGCATACTTTAATATTACATGACTTTGTTAATTAAATTTTGTAGGAGGCTGCTGATTTAGACTGGGCTCTTGCACTAAGCAGCAGGACCATACCCTGCTGATTAAGCTGTAACCAGCTTACTGGCTGATAGACCAAGTAAGTGGGAGCCAGTTCAATTGTTTTCTATGCCTCACTTCTCTTTTTCTGTTAATACTATCAGATCATTGCTAGCTAGACTTCTCAGAACCTATGCTGGTTCTTGGAGCTCTCCAATTAATGAAATGCCCTTTGTTCTGTTCTCCTTGGCTCAAATAAACTCTTCCTTTTAACAGCTATTTCACATTTTGAGTTCAGAGCCTCCAACTGAAATGCAACGCAGAAAGGAAAAACAGGGGCCGCCTCATCCAGCAGTGGGCCCTCAATGAAAATCAAAACCCAAATGTCACTTTCAAGAACAAAGAGCCTCTCAAAAAGGCTCACAGTGGTACTGGCTTACTGGCGCAAGGAGCTCCAGATTTTCCTCATTAAAAAGATCACAGGTTGGCTGGCGCTGCAGCTCACTAGGCTAATCCTCCACCTGCGGCACTGGCATCCCACATGGGCGCTGGGTTCTAGGTCCAGTTGCTTCTCTTCCAGTCCAGCTCTCTGCTGTGGCCCGGGAAGGCAGTGGAGGATGGCCCAAGTGCTTGGGCCCTGCACCCGCATGGGAGACCAGGAGAAGCACCTGGCTCCTGGCTTTGGATCAGCGCGGTGCACCGGCCGCAGCAGCCATTGGGGGGTGAACCAACAGAAGGAAGACCTTTCTAACTCTGCCTGTCAAAAAAAAAAAAAAAAAAAAAAAAAAAAAAAAAATCCCAGGCAAAGGAAGAAAAGGCAACAACTGCAGCAGTTTACAGCAGGATAAAGTGATAGATTCCACACACACAGGTGGCTTTCCCACCGTCTCTGTGAACAAAGGCAGTGTTTCCAGGTGCACAGCTCACTTTAAAACAGTCTGCCCCTTCTGACCTGCATGTGTGCAGTATAAGTTTGTTACACTCCGATCCACACCTCCACAGAGTGGCTGGAAGATCCTACTCAGGCTGCTGGAGCGCTTCAGTTAGTGACTTCTTAGTCATCACCACAGATATTAGGACAATGGCTTTCCAGCTCTAGGGACTGACGCCATCCTCACCGGGGGCATCTAACCTCACCCTGTATTAAATAAGGCTGACAATCCACCCTAAATTTAATCCTTAACTGTGTCCAGCTGTGAAAGCCTGGTTCCTGGAGTCCTGGGTGCCAGACGGCTTTTTTCTTTCTTTTTAGATTTCTTTATTTATTTGAAAAAGTGAGAAAGGGAAAGACAGAGGTTTTCCATCCCCTGGCTCCCTCCTCGGATGGCTGCAGCGGCCAGGGCAGAGCAAGGCCCAAGCCAGGAGCTTCTTCCAAGCTTCCCACATGGGTGTAGGAGCCCCAGTCATCGTCCACTGCTTTCCCAGGCCATTAGCAGGGAGCTGGATTGGAAGTGGGGCAGCCGGGACACCAACCGGCACCCACAGGGGATGCTGGTGTCTATCGCAGGCGGGAGAAGGGGAGGCTTTACCCACTACACCACCATGCCGGCCCCCTGCTGGCCATCTTTAGGTAAATATGCATCCTGCCATCCTAGGCTAGAACGAACCTGGAGTGTTGGATGTGGACGGAACATCTAACAGAAGGGGCAGCTTGCATGTCATGGAGCTCACACAGGCCTCGTGATTATACTCTGGCTGTATAGGCATACCTGCTTGTGAATGGACGTCGGGTGTGGTATGCAGTGGCTGAATTTGGTCCGAAACTAGTTTTCTTTGCCACGTGGAAGCGAGGCTGGGCGGGGGGACCAACCAAAGCTCACCAGCCTCTGACCAATGGCCACTGGGGAGCTCCCAGAACACTGGCCCGAGGCACTGAGCAACTGGCAGTACAAACCCGGAAACTAAGCCGTAGGGAGGGCGAAGAGCCGCCGGGGCCGGGCGAGCCCTCCAGTCCCCCTCGGGGCTGCCATTGCTCACACCACACCCCCGCCTTGCTGCGGAGCCCGGACCCCGTCCTCTTCCGGCTGTGCGCGGGGCTTCACTCACCCTTGTGGCAGTGGGACAGGAAGTAGGCGCGGGCCCTCAGGTTCTCCCTGTCGAAGCGGTCTATGGAGATGGTTGGATACTCTACCATCTGTCCCTCAAAGGAACTCATAGTGCCGCCGATCCCGACCTCCAGCACTCAGGGCGGCCCAGGCCGACCCTGCTCGCGCCGCCACTTCCGGGAAGCTGCGCGCCGCCTCCTCATTGGCAGGCCGGGCGCAGCCTGGTCCAATCAGAGGAGCCCGCCGGCCGAGCGCCGGGCGGGGTTTCCCGCCTCAGCGCGCTGCGGTTTAAACACCTAAGCTGCGCTTCAAACCCCGAATCCTCTGGTCCGCCTGGCGCTGAAGATCAAGGAGACAGAGCGAAGTCTGGCCCCTGACAGAAATCAACAAACAGAACGTGAGTGTCGTTCTGCTAAACAGCCGTCTGTGTCTGTGAAAACCGTAGCGTGAAGGAAAACCCAAACACAACACCTGTCAAGTGGCCACATCCAAGAAGGCGATATGGGTCGAGCAGGTGCGCTTTGAAACCAGGCCGTGTTTCGCTTCCGTTGTGTCTGCTGAAAGCTGAACGCATTTTTCTCCTAATCGTATGAGAAAGTTGTCTCTGACTCACGGTAGATTCCCTCTTCCATGTATATGCACCGTCGGCAAACTGTGACTGAGCCATCTCTGATGACACCACTCTGATATGATGTTAGGTTATGTAAGTGAAAACCCAAACGATGCTTTAGCCGCTGGCCTGACACTCTGCCCTCTGGAGCTACGTCTATTTAGGAAGCTAGATGGATGATGCGGGAAAGGTCTAAACAGGTTTTGGTTTAAGAGTCACCAAACAGAAATCACAATGGCATATATTATGCGTCTCCCTAGTGAGTCTCTTTAGGCCTCACAGTATTAATCACAGACAACTGGAGCAAATCTGCAATCTTGCACTGTGACAAGACTCAGGTGGCCACATGGCTAAGAAGTGCCTTCCAGTATGAAACTAAGTCTCTTTAGGGTGCCTTTGATGCAGATGCTAGATGCTATCAGCTTCTAGACTCCCACAGTCCCCCCAGCCTCCCTCCTGCAGCTTAGAGTTTGTGTTACAAATCAACCTCTTACTAAGATGAACTGAACTGAGGCACGGTGTCGCTAATCACAAGAGTCATAAGGTCATTTATCTCCCCTGTAGATAATGTCTTGTTTGGTCTTGTCTTGTGGGTCCCCCTTCCCCAGGAACTCCAGGACCCAAAGAACTCTGAAGCCCACTTTGTCATCATCAAAAGTCCCAGATGAACACGACATCCCTAATTAAAGGAGGGCCATAAGCAGTACCCACCACTCCAGGATGCGCCTACCAGCTGACCATGCACCTCTCAACCCCAGCTTCAATCTACAGGAACCTTTACCCAGGTTCAGCCCCTTGAAGTGACCAGGGAACCAAGCCACAGCCGCCCAGCTCCTTGCTCTGTGCTCTGCAATGAGTACCGACTTTCTTCCACAACCCCACTGTCAGTGATTGGCTCGCTGCGTGTTAGGTGAGCAAAATCAGGTTTCAAGAATTCTACAAGTGGTGTTCAATCAATGGAGAGATGGCATCAGAACACGGTAAATCAGTGCTTCTTCAGAGACACAAAGCAATATATGAATACATCAGACATATGTTATTACCAGGGAAATCAGGAATCAGAATGCCAACCTTACAGAGTGTCAGCTAGTTCTTGCAGCCATAAACTCAGAGAACCACTGGACTGGATTTTGTAAAGAATACTTTGGGGCTGGCGCTGTGGCATGGTAGGTTAAGCCTTTACCTGTGTGCCGGTTTGTCTCCCAGCTGCTCCTCTTCCAATCCAGCTCTCTGCTGTGACCTGGGAAAGCAGCAGAAGATGGCCCAAGTCCTTGGGCCTCTGTACCCATGTGAGAGACCCAGAAGAAACTCCTGGCTCCTGGCCTTGGATCTGCTCAGCTCTGGCCATTGTGGCTATTTGAGGAATAAACCAGAGATTGGAAGACCTTTCTGTCTCTCCATCTCTCTGTTTGTGACTCTGCCTTTCAAATAAATAAATGTTAAGCAAGAAAGAACTCAGGCTGGAAAAGGGAGCCAGTTGAAAAGCTGTTCAATGCTCCAGTGAAGATAATAGTGAGGATTAATTTATTCATTCAGCAAATAGTCACTGGCCCTCTACTATGGATCAGACACTGTTCTTGAGTTTTCAGCTCTAAACATACAGTAGTGAGGAAAGTTTACAAAAATCTCTGTGATCATGGAGTGCACATTCTGATTGAAATACTCTCTACCATTTATGTAGCAGCTCCCAGAGTGTTTCACACTTATTATTTCATCCTCACAACAAACCCATCGGATTGACCATTTTTGTACTCACTTCACAGTTGAGGAAACTATGGCTTAGGAACTTGCACAAGAGCATGTTGGTAGTTATTAGAACTAGTTATTTGCATCTGGATTATTATTTGAATATTTGCCAGTTATTTGAATCTGGATTCAAATCCCAGAAAACCACCACTCCCCTAGCTCCCTTACCATATTCCTTCCACAGGATCGGGTTAAATATACTAATAAAATATACTGCTTTAGCATCTACTGTGTGCTAAGTACTGTTAGGCCAGTGTGGTGGGGCCAAATGATCCACAGTTACAGAGAAAGGGAGTCAGGGTTGTATACAAATCTCGTAGTGTGTCGCTGGCTTTGTAAGGACAGATTTTTATTCTGCAGAAGATGGAAAGCCATTGCAGAGCTATAAACCAGAGTGACACAACATGACTTAGACTTTAAATGGACTGCACTGACTGTTGCACTGAGAACAGACAATAGGGATGTGGAAAGTGGCAAGAGAGAACTGTTGGGGGCTATTGCAAGGACCAGAGGGAAAAATGATGGTGGCCTGGACTTGGATGAGAGCTGTAAAGCCAAAAGGTTTTACTTCCGGAAAGGAATGAAAGGTAAGAGAAAGAGGGATTCTAGGTGTTACCTACTAAAAGGGAAACACAAGGAAGGAGCAGGGGTTTTGACCAGTGAAAGGTAGAAGTTTCAGGAGTTGTTTTGCACAACCAAATAGATGTTGAATATTGGTTGAATATACAAGTGTAAAATCCAGAGGAAGATTTAGGCTGAGGAAATAAAATTTGGTATCACAGTAAGTAGATGGAGCTGATGTTTTGGTTTTAGGCTTATTTTACTTTTTTTTTTTTTTTTTTTTTTACAGGCAGAGTGGACAGTGAGACAGAGAGAGACAGAGAGAAAGGTCTTCCTTTGCCATTGGTTCACCCTCCAATGGCCACCGTGGCCAGTGTGCTTCGACCAGCACACTGCGCTGATCTGATGGCAGGAGCCAGGTACTTATCCTGGTCTCCCATGGGGTGCAGGGCCCAAGGACTTGGGCCATCCTCCACTGCACTCCCTGGCCACAGCAGAGAGCTGGCCTGGAAGAGGGGCAACTGGGACAGAATCCGGCGCCCCGACTGGGACAAGAACCCGGTGTGCCAGCGCCGCAAGGAGGAGGATTAGCCTAGTGAGCCGCGGCGCCGGCCTTATTTTACTTTTAATATGTGTTAGCTTTGTTTTGATATGACTCATTTAATTAGAAGTTTAAATAATTTGTACTATGGCATGTGTTTAAGAACTAGCTCAAACTCTAAAATTTTAACTATAGGTTGAGTATCCCTTAGCTGAAGTGCCAAGTGCTTCATCAGATTTTGGAATATGTGTACACACATAATGAGGTATTTGGGGGATGGGACCCAACTTAAACATGAAATTCATGTATAGATCTAGCCTAAGGATAACTTTATACATTCTTTTTAGTGTACCTGCATTTTGACTGTGGCCCATGACAGGAGGTCAGGTGTGGAATTTCCTGCTAGTGGGGTCATGTCTGTACTCAAGTGTCAGATTTTTTAGCATTTTGAACCTCCTTATTAGGGCTGCTCCGCCTGTACTGGTTCTAGCACCAAGCCATTGCCTCTTTTTCTTCCACTGTAATTTATCAGCAAATTATGATAGCTCTATGTTCAAGATATATCTTGAATCTGATCACTTTTCACTAACATAGATGGTATTTTAAATATAATGAAGGTAATGTTAGAAAAATACCATTTACTGTAGGTTTACTAAATGCCATCGGTATTTTGCCTCGCCCTATGGATTCGTTCTTTCAGTCCCCACACAGTAATAGACACTAGAGTCCCGTCAGGACCAGAAACCGCTTTCTTAGGAACTCCGGCTGGGGCTCAAAGGACAGCAAATAACACATCTCACTTCACCTCTGCTCATGGATATACCCAGGCCCATTACCCACATTCGCTCCGTCATTAACTTGTCAAAAGACCCCGCACCGCTTCCCACGCCACACTAGCACCAGCCCTTGCGCATGCGCACAAAGACCCGCTCCCAGGGGGCGTGACGCGCGAACTGGGCGGGACCTGAGCGGCCCACGCGTTGCTAGGCGACACGAGGGTTGCAAAGGCGGCGGCAGTTGGCTTGCCGCTGCTCCGGCCTACAGATCTCGAGTGGAGAACGCGAGCACCGCCGCGCCCGCCTGCGAGTTCCCGGGTGCAGCGCCCCGGTCCTCTCCTGCTTGGAGGGTAACCACGGAGAGCCGAATCCCAGGGGTGGGTGGGTGCGTCGCTGGGGGCTTGGCCCCTGCCCACGCCCATGCAGCCGGGCCAGCCCAGGCTCCGCCCCTCCGCCCCTCGCCCTCACCGGCCCGCCGCAGCCGCTGGGTGCTGCCTGTGTCCTTTCTCCTCTGGTTCCTGAGTTTTCACATCCACACTGCTTTTTAACGAATGGCCTTCTTTGGCTCCTCTTGAGTTTCGGGTCTGGTTATCCTGTAAGGCTCCTGGCCGTCGCGTGCCCCCCTTTGTCTTTAGCGGTTGTGACTGTGGGGACTCAATCCTTAGATCACTGGTTTTAGAATACTTTGTCCGTCATGGCCTGCTCCAAGCACAGTGATTTCTGAGGGACTGGGGAGGCGTGCCGGCTGTGGGGCTCCCACAGGGGCGCTCTTACGCTGCACCAACGCAGCTCAGCACCCTGGCCCGAGGACGCCAAGGCGTATTTGGGGAACCTCTTTTGTGTTTCGTCTGCAAACCCAACATTGGTTGGGGAATTGAAGGACTTTGGAGACCCTCTGATGCGATTCTTCTGTGCCGGTTCTGAAACAAGAAGTCCAGGATCGTTGAGCGTCCTAACCCGGGTTCTGTAAAGGGCTGCTCCTCCGCGTCCTGCTGCCGCTTAGTAACGGAAATAATCAAAGGGGGGCAGGGGAGGAAGAGCGAAATGGGAGACGCAGGAGGATGATGCTGACGGGGTTGACTGCCACGGAGGTAAACACACGTTTCAGAGCGAAAGGAGGTAAAAGGGTTTTCCGCGCAGGGTCGTTTGGGGTGACTGCCTGCGTCAGAGGCGTCCAATGTCACAGTGCAACTTGAGATGGGCAAGGGCTGCAGATCGGTGCAGGGTTCTTTAATGCTCAAATCAGCCCTAACACTGTTGATACAGTTCCGTTTTCATAGACTGGAGATTCAAGAATTACCATTTGCTGGTTTGGGAGCCACAAATGGTAGCAGAGTAACCATTTGGTTTGAAAGTGCTGTAACTAGCAGAATTAGTTTGCCACTGAATTTCACTGAAACATGTCATCAAGGAACTGGAAGTTCATCTTTGCTAGTTGTAACTTCATTTTGTGTTAAGAGTGACACCCTGACTCCCCTAAAAAAGGAATCTGTGCCGATACTATAGAGCAGAGTTATAGTAGCAACTAGGGTTCCTATCATAGTGAAAATTACATTCATGTTCCATTTAGACTTTTGAGAAAACAAAATATCAAGATGTGCATTTCTAATAAGACAAATGGTAGTTTCTCCAGAAGTTCAACTGAATGCTGCCTATTTTCTTTTTTCTATTAAATGTAGTATTTGTATAACATAGTTGACATAATTATTTGAAATAAAAAATGATGACATTCATAAAAACTTATTTTCTGCCTGAATGTGAACAAGAATTTTTATAACAAAAAGTCAAGCCTGAAACAAAAATTGATAAAGCAAAAAAATTAAGGTTGTATCACTACTTTTAGAAAATACATTTGATCCATAAAAGCAATGTAAGCCACCAAATTCATATAAAAACATGACTAATTTTGAGTGTCTTTAATACAGTGAATTTATACTTTGTGTTTCTTAGTTTCTTTTTTCTGTTATATATATTCTATAATTGTATATGTAAATGTATTATTAGGCTGTAACATATTTATATCCAACTCATTTGTTTGTTGTAACTAGTATAAGGGGGCTTAAAGTTCAAGGAAAATGGAATTAGGCTGGCGCTGCGGCTCACTAGGCTAATCCTCTGCCTTGCGGTGCCGGCACACCAGGTTCTAGTCCCAGTCAGGGCACTGGATTCTGTCCCGGTTGCCCCTCTTCCAGGCCAGCTCTCTGCTATGGCCCGGAAGTGCAGTGGAGGATGGCCCAAGTCCTTGGGCCCTGCACCCGCATGGAAGACCAGGAGAAGCACCTGGCTCCTGGCTTCGGATCAGCGCGATGCGCTGGCCGCAGAGTGCCGGCCACGGCAGCCATTGGAAGGTGAACCAACGGCAAAAGGAAGACCTTTCTCTCTGTCTCTCTCTCACTGTCCACTCTGCCTGTCAAAAAAAAAAAAAAAAAAAAAAAAAAAAAGTTCAAGGAAAAATGGAATTAAAAGAAAATGTGAAGGGGCTGGCACTGTGGCATAGTGGGTAAAGCCACTGCCTGCAGCGCCAGCATCCCATATGGGCGCCGGTTCTTGTCCCAGCTGCTCCACTCCTATCCAGCTCCCTGCTAATGGCCTGGGAAAAAGCCTCAGAAGATGGCCCAAGTGCCTGGGCCCTGCACTCATGTGAGAGTCCTGGATGAAGCTTCGGGCCCCTGGCTTTGTGGTCATCTGGGGAGTAAACCAGCAGATGGGAGATCTGTTTCTCCTTCTCTCTTTCAAATAAATAAATAAATCTTTTTTAAAATGTGAATTTTCCAAGAACTTTTAGAAGCTCCCTTATCTATTGTGTACCAGTGGTTCAGTGACCAGAATTAAAGGGCATAGTTTCACTGAAACATGGCTTACTTATAACTGTTCTGTCAGATAGTACAGATTTTACATAAATTCAAAGAGTACTGTAAGAGTGAACTGCGTTAAAATGCCAACATGAGCCTAAATCTAAATAAAGATAGAAAACTTTTTAAAGTCCATACTAACAAAATTCTAATTTCCTTTGGTCTGATCAACAGACATGTTGGTATGCTCACTGGAAGAAAATCTAAACAGCAATCATAATGATATACCCACTTTATGTACTTGCTACTTTCATCAAGATGAGAACTCTATGGCTCAAATAACTTCATTTAAATTCCTTTAAATCTGCAAATTAGTCCAAACAACTGTGGGAAAGACGGTTCAGAATAGAGAGTAAATGCTAAGTAAGTGTTAAGTAAGTAATGTAACAATCTAGAGGGGTGTAGCATAGCACAGACCAATCTCCTTATTTTTCACAGAGAAGAGCCAGTCAGTGCCTGAGTGTGACTGGGAAACAGGTGACTCAGCGTTCTGCCAGAATTGTCTTTTTTTTTTTTTTATTCGCTACTCAGAGGACTTTTAGGCTACATCTTTCACACAGAGGAGCATGCCTCTGAATTTCAGCAAATCCACCAATTTTGGTTTTCTCTACTCCCCCCCCCCCCATCAAATCCACATAATGCTAAATTTATGACTCTTGTAAAAGCATTTATTATAAGACTCCTTTTTATAAACCTTTTGGGATGATCTTTACTCAGTAAGGATGGCTATTTCTAACTCCTGTGAGGATGATCTTCCCTTTCCTTTTTGCACTTTAATGTATTTCTTGACCTCTTATAGTGAGCATTTGTCATTGTGATAAAAAAAAACTTTAAAAATATTAGTTAATTTACAGGATCTACTTTGTGAAGTCTGATTTTAATGTGTTGAAGTCCATAGAACTATATCTTAATGGGAGAATGGATTCAAAGAATCTTGGTGAAAATCCTAGGCATACCAGTCACTTATTTCAGTTAAATGTCTGATAAGATTTGTTAATAAGAAGTAACAGAAAGATAAGTGCAAGGTTGTATTTTTGAAAGCCTGGCTATGCAAGTTTATTGAATAAACAATTAAATAAATTAGAGCTGAATATTTCCAAGGTCACTATTTTAAAATCAGTACTCTCAGACTCTTGACCCCTATAGCTATAGTGGAATTTATGATTGTGTATCTTCTCACATTGGTCTAGCATGGGATTATGTGCCACAGTAACCTGAGTGAATGGATTGCAGTAATTGGCTCCCAGCAATTAAGAAACGGGAAAAGGAAGAATGGATCTCTTCCCAGCAACATCACAGGGAAGAGAGCAAGAAGACTGATTGTACATGTCTTTGTTAAGAAATAAGAGACAGAGAATATAATTTGATTACAATTAAATGTAGTGGTCATGGGATTTTTTTTAACAATCTATAGTTACAAATATGAGTGTTTTAGAGATATGCAAGCTATTACCTGAAACAACACATTGTTATATAGTTTTTAAGACATCATTCCATAACTCTGGAATGCAATTTTATTTGAAGAAATAAACAGTTCTCTCTGTATCTTTCAGGGCTTTCTGTTTTTTGGATTATTTTTTCCAAAATAGAGCATAAATCGTTTTTAATGTTGGAATTGAATGTTAAAATTTTAATATATTTAAAAGGGTTCTCACACATATATTTCAGTTCTGTACATTCTTAAAGGGAATTTCAAAATTGTCATTATTATGTTATCCATTAATGTTGTTTTGACATCTTTCAGAGATAACTGGTACTAAGGCCTCTGTAGCCATGGCTAGTTCTGATGTGAAACCAAAATCAGTAAGTCGTGCCAAAAAATGGTCAGAAGAGATAGAAAATCTGTACAGATTTCAACAAGCAGGATATCGGGATGAAGTTGAATATAAACAAGTGAAACAAGTTTCTATGGTAAGATTTATATCGCTGTTAACCTGAACTCACAATGAGTTTTGTCACTGAAAAGTATTTAAAAAAAGAACCCGAGAATGATGGAAGAGACTTCTATTCCAACTCATTTTAGTGAGCAGGAGACACAGGCCCAGGACAGTGATTTGCAGGACACGTTGGTGGAAGAGGTGGTCCCTTAGCTGGACACATTCAGAATTTGTGGCTTTCATTAGCAGCTGTACTCTGCTCAAGGCACCTTTTATGGGAGAATTATAAAAGCAGAGTCTTCTTGCCTCACTCAGGTATTTGCGTGATCAGAGACTGAGCCTATTGGATGACTAGTATTTCACTCCTGTTTCTTTGGTATTTTAAGCATGAATTAGTAAAGGCTTAAATTTTGATTTTTTTAGTAGAAATTACGCATGACAAGCTGGCACTGTGGCGCAATAGGTTAATCCTCTGCCTTCAGTGCCAGCATCACATTTGGGTGCCAGTTCTAGTCCCGGCTGCTCCTCTTCCGATCCAGCTCTCTCCTAAGGCCTGGGAAAGCAGAAGATGGCTCAAGTGCTGGGGCCCCTACACCCATGTGGGAGACCTGGAAGAAACTCCTGGCTCCTGGCTTTGGATCAGCCCTGCTCTGTCCATTGTGGCCATTTGGGGAGTGAACCAGTGAATGGAAGACCTTTCTCTCTATTTCTCCCTCTGTCTGTAACTCTACCTCTCAAACACATAAATAAAGTATTTAAAAAAAAACACCACAATTATATATGACTGAGAGTCATTAGGAATAGTTCCTGATGTACATTGGATGTACATTCCAGGCTTTCTTGAGAGAGTGGATACATAGCTTTGTTTTCTGAAGACTAGACCAAAACCTAGACAGGGCATCCCTTTACAGTGTGATTTTTGTTTAACTTGTTTATTCTGCTGGCTGCAGAATTTTGTTTTGCTTTTTAAATATTTCTTTTTTTGAAAGGCAGAGTTACAGAAAGAGAGAGAAAAAGAGAGAGAACACAAGATTACATCCTCTGGTTCACTCCCTGATGGCCACAATGTCTGGGACTAGGCCAGATCACAGTCAGGAGCCAGGAGCTTCTTCCAGTCACCCACATGGGTGCAAGGGGCCCAAGCACTTGGGCCATCTTCTACTGCTTTTCCAGGCTATTAGCAGGGAGAAGGATTGGAAGTGGTGCAACTGGGCCTTGAACCAGTGACCATATGGGATGCTGGTGTCATAGGCAGCAGCTTAACTGGCTACACTATAATGCTGGCACCAACTAGGAGTTTAAGTTTTTATCCTACTGACTACTATGCAGTTTTTAAGTATCTTTATGTCATAGAATATAATGAAGCATTCATGAGTATATGAGGGTATATGGAAAAATGGAAAGGTAAGTTTATTATGATGCAAACATTGTGAAATACATGCAAACGAGCAGTGTTCAAAACATTCATGGGAAATGCATTATGAAAAAAAGTGTGCATGTATTTCAAGGGCTTTTTGGGCACCAAAATAAACACTGTAATTCCATTTTTCTATGAACTTGTTGAAGCACTCTCAAATTTTAATCATGAAATTTGGGGCTGCCACAAAGTTTTATTTTTTATTAACTGACAGTTTATCAAGGATTCATTAATACATAGATTTTTCAGATCTCTATAATCTCTTTTTTCCTTCTTCATTCATTGTACTCTTTGGCCTTGCTTAACACTTATTAATAAGCAAAGTAGCAAGGAAAAGGATTTGGAGCAATACAGAGCACAAATGTAATCAGCTGCTTAACAGACAGTAATAGACATCATTGGGGTTCGTAAGGAATGAAGTTAAAACATACTGATGAAGATGTGTTCACTGTGATTTTACTGATATTTTACTCTGTCTCAATTGCCAAAAAGTAGTTTTCAGTACTGTATTACCTATGGCTTGTAAATAGGTATAACACAGAATTACCATTTTAATGCAATTCAAATATAAACTCTACGCCTTGCCTTAAGCTTGGGACTACAGAGGCAGTGTTAAACACACACCCTTTGTGTTATTACGTATACCCCAACCTCAAATAATGTCAGACTTAAGAGAATGCAAAGAACATCCTTAAAGAAGTCCCCCCCGAAAAAAAATGAGTGTGCTGCTGAGAGTAGGGGTGCAGGTGTCTGGGTGTAGTTAAAGGAAGAACAACACTACTGACTTGGCAATCATATAAAGAGGTTTTGTGTTTCATGTGAAAATTTCTATGCCAAAGCTTTGGGAGATAAAAGTACAGGTAAGAGAGTGCCTGAATTCAACAAATCCCTTGAGCCAGGGGAAGAAGGTGGGCTTCAGAGTCCATCAGCCCAGAGTTTGCACCGGCTCTGACTCCTCTTCGCTGAGTCATGCTGGGCAAGGCTCTGCACTGGGTCTGCCTTCCCTAAACTAAAGCAGTGCTGTTTGTACTGCGCTAGAGAACTGTCACAGGAACTAGAATGGAATATCGTTGAAGTGCCTGATGTCACGATGCTGTAATTGGTCAATAAATGATACCTTTTATTCTCAAAGCTTGGAGTAGAAAATAAATAACAAGAATAAGAAAACCTTGTGTTGGTCAACATTTATGTGTCTTTTTTTAAAAAAAAAAGCAGTCTACTGGTTCACTCCCCAAATGTGCCCAGTATGCAGGGCTGGGCCAGATCAAAGCTAGGAGCCTGGAAATCCACTGGGATCTCCCACAGGTACACAAGTGCTTGGGCCAATATCTGCTCCCCCCGCCCCCACCCCCGGTGCATTAGCAAGAAGTTGGATCCCAAGTGGAGGAGGGACTCAATCCCAGGCATTCTGATACAGGATGCAGGCGTCCCAAGCAGCAACTTAAGCCCCCATGCTAAATGTCTGATCCTGGCTGCTGTTCTGTATCTACATCAGGGCTTGCCAAGGATTATCAAATATGCTCTTTGCTTTTTCTTTTTCTCATGAATAACAACAAAAAAGCACTATTAGGACACAATGTATTCATCTTTTCTTCCCACTGAAAGATTTGGTTCATACATGGAGACTATGAAAAATGAAGGACTGGGGCTGCTGCTGTGGTGCAGTGTGTTAAGTCCCTGTCTGTGACGCCAGTATCCCATATGAGCACCGGTTAGAGTTCCAGGTGCTATTCTTCCAATCTAGCTCCCTGCTAATGTACCTGGAAAACAGTGGAAGATGGCCCAAGTGTTTGGGTTCCTGTCACTCATGTTGGAGACCCTGATGGAATTCCAGGCTCCTGGGTTTGGTCTGGCCCACCCCCAACCGTTGAGGCCATCTGGGGAGTGAACCAGTGGCTGGAAAAGCTCCCTCTCTCGCTGTCTTTCCCTCTCCCTGTGTGTAACTCTGCCTTTCAAATAAGGTGTTGAAGAACAGAATGTGGTTTTCTAAAACTTACATAATGGGTTTCTGATAATAATAAAGTGCATCTCACAAAATCCAGAAGGAGGCCGGCGCCGCGGCTCACTAGGCTAATCCTCCACCTTGCGCTGGCACACCGGGTTCTAGTCCTGGTCGGGGCGCCGGATTCTGTCCTGGTTGCCCCTCTTCCAGGCCAGCTCTCTGCTGTGGCCAGGGAGTGCAGTGGAGGATGGCCCAAGTCCTTGGGCCCTGCACCCCATGGGAGACCAGGAAAAGCACCTGGCTCCTGCCATCGGATCAGTGCGGTGCGCCAGCCGCAGCGCGCCAGCCACGGCGGCCATTGGAGGGTGAACCAACGTCAAAGGAAGACCTTTCTCTCTGTCTCTCTCTCTCGCACTATCCACTCTGCCTGTCAAAAAAAAAAAAAAAAATCCAGAAGGAACATATTAACAACAACAGAAATGCATTAACCAAGGGCCAGTGCTGTGGTGTAGTGGTAAAGCTGCCACCTGCAGTTCCGGCATCCTATACAGGTACTGGTTCAGGTCCTGGCTGCTCCACTTCTGATCCAGCTCTCTGCTATGGCCTGGGAAAGCAGAAGATGGCCCAAGTCCCTGGGCCCTGCATCTGTGTGGGAGACCCAAAGGAGGGTCCTGGTTCCTGGCTTCGAATCAGCGCAGCTCTGGCTGTTGTGGCCATCTGGGGAGTGAACCAGCAGATGGAAAACCTCTCTCTCTGTCTCTACCCTGCCCCCCTCTGCCTCTGTGTAACTCTGCCTTTCAAATAAATAAATAAATATTAAAAAGAAAGAAAGAAAGAAATGCATTAATCTAATTAAGAAGGCATAACATTGACTTTGAAGAGGGAGAAAAATGTCCAGATCAAATCAAGCCAAATAATAAACAAAACCATGCAGAATGTAACAAAGGAGAGTGGAAAGAAGAAAGGTTTATTGCAGATTATATTTTTGATCTCAAATTTCTATTAAAACCTTGAAATTTGGGCAGAAGGAAATATTGATGCTCCTTTAGATACTTTTTTAAAATCTGTAGGTCTTTTTTTTTTTTTTTTAAAGATTTATTTATTTATTTTTTTACTTGAGAGGCAGAGTTACAGAGGTAAGGAGAGACAGAGAGAGGTCTTCCATCCGCTGACTCACTCCCCAAATGGCTGCAACAGCAACAGCTGGGCTGATCCAGAGCCAGGAGTCTGTGTCTCCCACGCAAGTGCAGAGGCCCATGCACTTGGGCCAACTTCCGCTGTTTTCCCAGGCAATCAGCAGGGAGCTGACTCAGAAGTGGAGAAGCTGGGACTTGATCTGGTGTCCATATCGGATACTAGTGTCAAATGAGGATGCTAAACCTACTACCCCACAGCACTGGCCCTTTAGACATTTTCTGAGTCTAGCTGCTTCCCTCCTTTCATCACGGTGCTACACCAACAGTCTACAGGCAGTGCCTTCAGAATGCAGCCTGGGCCTTGCCCTATTTTTTTCCCTGAGATATTATTTTTAGAAGTTATGTTTGAAATCATTTGTAGACATATGAAGCAGGAAATGCAGATTATCTAGAATATTTGCTCTATCTTGGCCACATTCTAGAAATTTAAATCTAGAAATTGAGCTCCAGAGAGCAGCAGTGATTTGGTCACTCCATGGTATAAACTTTCAATGTAAGATGTGTACTGTGTATGAGTAATACTCTCTGTAAGGGCTCAAGAATTTTTAAATTTAGTCTTATACTCTTTTTGTGCGTGTGTGAGTTTGACTTTTAACTATTTGAGAGCGGAATATGAGTTAAAAATACATCTGGCATTATAACACGTGTGTTCTGGTTTTTGTTGTGCAGGTAGATCGTTGGCCAGAAACAGGTTACGTGAAGAAGCTTCAGAGAAGGGACAATACTTTCTATTACTACAACAAACAGAGGGAATGTGATGACAAGGAAGTCCACAAAGTGAAAGTTTATGCTTACTAGCCTTTCTTCTATTGATACTTATCCATTACACGTTAAGAAGTCATTCTTTCGTTCTGCATCATGTACATGTTTATCACTGTACAGAAACATTCTGAATGCACCCTGCAGTTTAATGTTTTGAAATGCAAAGCCATGAAACTGGTGGCTATTCATCACCCTGTCCTGTTCTGAAATCCAACTGCAGAAGCATTAAAGTTGTACCCTTCATGACCCTGCTCTTTCTGACCATTGTAACTGTGGCAGAACCTCTGATATGTGTGGGGAAAGAAGTTGCCCCCTTTGAAACCCGCCCAACGCTTAGGCTACTTGTGTATGCTCTTAGAGCACAGCTTTCCCACTCTCCGCGTTTTCCTCTGTATAGAACACCATTTTGAACAGCCAGATCTACAACAGGACCTTCTCTTGCCTCTGGGGTCCTCTGCCTCCTCCTGGCCAATGAATAATGCTGCTCTAGGAGCAGCCTTCCACTGATGACTGTCAGCTGTGCATTTGGCCTAGTGGTTAAGTTGCCACTTGGCACCCGCACTCCGTATCTGAGAGCCTGGGTTCAAGTGCCGGCTCCACTCCTGATTCCAGCTTCCTGCTAAGGCACACTCTGGCCTGCCCCAGCCTCTGCTATACGTTTGTTACAAATCAGTGGATAGGAGATCTCTCTCCCTTTCAAACTGAATAAATACATGTTTAAAAGTAAAAATGGGCCGGTGCCGCGGCTCACTTGGCTAATCTTCCACCTGCGGCGCCAGCACCCCGGGTTCTAGTCCCAGTTGGGGCACCAGATTCTGTCCCAGTTGCTCCTCTTCCAGGCCAGCTCTCTGCTGTGGCCCGGGAAGGCAGTGGAGGATGGCCCAAGTGCTTGGGCCCTACACTCGCATGGGAGACCAGAAGAAGCTCCTGGCTGTTGGCTTAGGATCGGCGCAGTGCGCCAGCCACAGTGGCCATTTGGGGGGTGAACCAACGGAAGGAAGACCTTTCTCTCTCTCTCTCTCTCTAACTCTGCCTATCAAAAAAAAAAAAAAAGTAAAAATGAATCCCCTAGCAATCAATGTGGCAGCTGTTGAGGAAGCAGTCTGAGGTTTATGTTTTACTGTGGCTCCTAGGGTTTCCTCGGCAGGAGTTAAGTCAGTCATCTGCAGTAGTGCTTACCTAGATAATCACACACACTGGGGGATGCCTCTCTTCCTTGCCACACCCTCAGCCCCCACAAATGGTTCTTGACCTCCTGAGTTACTTCCTTGCACTTGAAGCCTTATCCCAGGGTCGGCCTCTGGGTTCCCTCACCTAAGACAGCTTATGTTCCAGTGTTGCCTGGAGTGCTGTGGAAATAATCCAAGTAACAAGGCAGGCAGTGTTAACCAGGAAGCCTTATGAAGTCCTCTTATCAAAACTCAGTGTATCTTGAGTATTTCAAGGTTGACTATATAAAGGATATCTTTTTAGGACCGGTGCTATAGTGTAGAAGGCTAAGCCTCCGCCTGCGGTGCCAACATCCCATATGGGTGCCGGTTTGTGTCCTGCCTGCTCCTCTTCTGATCGAGCTCTCTGCTATGACCTGGGAAGGCAGTGGAGGATGGCCCAAGTACTTTGGCCCCTGCACCTACATAGCAGACCTGGAAGAAGCTCCTGCCTGGTTCCTGGCTTCGGATCGGTCCAACTCCAACCATTGTGGCCATTTGGGGAGTGAACCAGCAGATGGAAGACCTTTCTCTCTCTCTACCTCTGTCTGTAATCTACCTCTCAAATAAATAAAATTTTCAAAAGTTTTCTAGAACTGCTGTCTTCACTCTGAAGTTCCATTGGTTTCCCCAAACTTGTGCTTCTTCAGAAATTCTTCTAACAAACATCTCCTGGAGAGGAGAAATAGCTTGGAAAGCCTCTGTGAGCCTCTCCTGATGCGGTCTGGAATCACCTTATTTGCCACTTTTTTCATGTTATTTCTCAGCACTTCTCTGGGCATGAGTTTTATCAACTTCTTCCAGATTTGGCAGTCCTGTAGGCACTGACCATAAGCGGCCTCTTTGTCTCCTCTCAGCAAAACCTATTGTAATGGGCAGCATAGTTGCTCCCAGAGATGCCTGTGTCCTTATTCCTTGAAACGGTAACTGCATTATTTCACATGGCAATGTAATTAAGTTGAAGATCTTCAGATGGAGAAGTTAGCCAGGATTTTCTGAGTGGTTCCTATAGAGAGCATCAGGCAAAGAGCTGGAGAAGGAGATGTGAAAATGGAGACAGGTGTCTGAGCCATGCAAGGAAGGAGCCAAAAGACAAGGAAGGCTGAAAAGCCTGTGGATGCCAGACAAGGCCAGGAAATGTACCCCTCATCACCCCATTCCAGAGTGTACACAAGGAACTACACCTTCTTATTACCAAACCAGATGCATTTCAGCCTTCTGGCATCCAGAACTCCAAGTGTTGTTTTCCACCACTCACTTTGTGCCATTTATTACAGTAGTAACAGGAAATAATTCATCTATACAGAAAAGATGAAACACATAAATACCCATGTCAATCGTGGTCTGCCACTTTTTGACCACAGAACACATTTTTTTTAAAGATTTATTTATTTGAAAGGCAGAGTTACAGAGAGGCAGAGGCAGAGTCAGAGAGAGAGAAAGAGAGAGAGAGGTCTTCCATCCGCTTCTTCACTCCCCAAATGCCTGCAACAGCTAGAGCTGGGCCAATACGAAGCCAGGAGCCAGGAGCTGCTTCTGGGTCTCCCACGCGGGTGCAAGGGCCCTTGCACTTGGGCCGTCTTCTCTTGCTTTCCCAGGCCATAGCAGAGAGCTGGATTGGAAGTGGAGCAGACAGGACTTAACTGGTGCCCATATGGAATGCCGGCATTGCAGGCGGTGGCTTTACCTGCTACACCACTGTGCCAGCCCCCATGGAACACATTTTGTCTCAGGTAATATGCATTCTGAGCGAGTTAAGCAGTGTGCCTCACTGCATACCAGTTAAACCATAATCTCTAAAAGCAGACACACATTATTTTTATTTTAGAAAAGCAAAAGCAGAGGAAGCAGACACTTAGCCTGGTGGTTAAGATGCCTGCATCACACACCAGAGTACTCGGGTTTGATTCCCAGCTCTGGCTCCTGACTCCAGCTTTCTGCCAACGCAGACCCTGGAAGGCAGCAGTGATGGCTCACGCTGAGTTCCTGCCACCCATGTAAGAATCCTAGATCGCATTCCTGGATCATCCTGGTTCCTGATTTCTGCCCTCAATCTAGCCTTAGCTGTTATGGGCATTTGGGGAGTGAACCAGCAGGTGGGAGTACTTGCTTGCTCACTCTCCTTCTCTTTCTCTGCCTCTTAAATAAGTCAATAATTATAATAATAGAAATCAAAATCAGAAACTCCCCTTGGGTGATTTTAATGGTTGAAAACAGCAATCAAGGTAAAAATTGTTGCCCCAGCTTCTTGGTTTCTATAGAATGGAGCGCCCAAATCCTACCATCTCCTGCCTGCCACGATTGGGCATGAATCCCAGGAAGCACTTGCCTGGGGTCCGCAGGAGCATTTTCAGGTACAGCTGTGGAAGAGCTTCCCTCACAGGTGTGGCTTGCAGTGCGTCTTGAGCAACGTCTCATTGCCTCAGTCATGTGCTGTATCTGTCAAGGCTCTTGGCCAGCATATTAATAAATTACACTAGGATTCATTATGCTCCTCAGTTGACTTATGTAAACCAAACTGGTGAGCTTAAAAAAATATTTGAGACCTCTGCTGCTTTCAACAGTGATGCCTGAACTAGATCAGCTTTCCAGGGCATGAGGTTTTATCAAACCAGGTCAGTGTTGTGGTTTGAAGGTGCCACGGGTCATGTGTAGGAAACTTAATCTCAAAATTCCTATGTTGCTGCTATTTGGGGGGGGGGGTCTTTGAGAGGTAATTAGGGAAGATGAGATCAGGTGGGTGGGATCCCAGGAGGGATTAGTGGCTTCATAAGAAGAGAGACCTGAGCTTGGCCCTTCCCATTCTCCCACCACGTGATGACCGCTGCCATGAGACGGAACTTCCAGAAGACCCTTGCATCTGTCTTCCTACTTTCCAGAACTATGAGAAATAATTTTTTTCTAATGCATTACTCAGTTTGTGGTACTGTGTTTTAGCAATAGAAAATGAACTAAGACACTCAGGGAGCCTGTCCTTTAGTGTTAGAATGTCATATGGCTTCAATGCTTCATTGCCCAGTGTTTAGTGAGCTGCATTCTGCGTGGCTTCTGGGAGACACTTGGGTCTAACAAAATAGAGCTAGTGATAGCTCCAGATTTGAAGGCAGCACCACAGCCTCCTGTTAACTGGTCTTGAGCAAGTTCCTCAGCTTCTCTAAGTTTCAGTATCATTATCTTAAAACTGAAATAAGAAGTCCCCTCTATATTTATGGGTAAGATGAAATTAAATATATATTTAGCATGGTTTCTAGAAAACAGTAAAAGCTCAGTGAGAGTTACTGGGACATCTTGGAAGTTTGCTGATCCATCTTCAGCAAGACGTACTTTGAGCCTTCTCTTGTCAGGCCACACTTTAGACCTCTCCTACACGTACGGCAGAAACCACTGTTCATTGCTGATGACCTCCAGCTCAAGAAAATCAGGAACATGCCCATTACAAAATGGGCTGATTACCTGATAAAACAAGGGAGGTATTTTTTGTCAGAGAATCCTGAAATGTCTCTGTAAGAAGGCATCAGGAGAGGCCGGTTAGAGGGTTGGGCTTGTGTTGGGTGATTTGTAGAGAGTCCAGGGCTCTGTTCTGGATTGAGCCCTTTAGGAAATACAGCTCTTAGTCCATTCAGGCCACTATAATGAAATAATATAACCTGGGTGGTTTATAGACAACAAAGATTTGTTGGGGCCGGTGCTGTGGCACAGCAGGTTAAAGCCTTGGCCTGAAGTGCTGGCATCCCATATGGGTGCCAGTTCTAGTCCCGGCTGCTCCTCTTCCAATCCAGCTCTCTGCTATGGCCTGGGAAAGCAGTAGAAGATGGCCCAAGTCCTTGGGTCCCTGCACCCACATGGGAGACCTGGGGGCAGCTCCTGGCTCCTGGCTTCAGATTCGCACAGCTCTGGCCATTGTGGCCATCTGGGGAGTGAACCAGCAGATGGAAGACCTCTCTCTCTCTACCTCTCTCTGCAACTCTGTCTTTCAAATAAATAAAATAAATATTAAAACAAAACAATAACACAAAGATTTGTTTTTCACAGTTCTGA